TACAGATCGAGGCCCAGGTGGAACGTCGCGTGGGCCACGCGCGTCGCGGACTCCGTTTTGTCCAGGGCGGCCTACATACGGACTTTGACGAAGCCATCAGGGAGAGGGATCTACACACGTTTCCTCTGCTTATGCAGTCTGCTTGCTGTGTATATACTCCCTCCATTTCTAAATATTTGATGCATCTTTTTCTATCATTTAATTCATTGTTAAATATACTTATATGTATACTTATAGTTTTACGTATTTTACAAAAGTTTTTAATAAGACGAACGGTTAAACATGTGCTAAAAAGTTAACGATGTTAAATATTTAGAAACGGAGGGAGTATATCTTAACTAATTAAAATATTCGTAATTTTCCATTCATCACAAGACGGACGTCTTCGTCCGTCGGCGGTGCGCCTTCACAGCCCCCGAATCCCGATCGCTCTTAGAATCGGAAACAGGGAAACACTTCCCAAAATCGGCACAACCAAAACTCAACCACTCTTTGCCCCAAAAAAAATCAACCACAATCATCACAAAATACATCACAAAACTTCACAAAAATATACATCAAAAAGAAAAACAACAATATACATCACAAAACTTCACTCGCCTGATCCATCTTCGGCCGCCGCCGACGCCGCCACCGTCGCCGGAGGGAGAAGAGTTGCGGCGGAGGGATCCGCCGCTCCTTATCCGACCACGGACGCCACCGACGCCGGACCTACCGCAGGAGGAAGGCAGGTGGGGGGGAGGGAGCTGCCACCGCTGGATCCGCCCGCGGCCGTCGCCGGCGGATCTGCCATGGGAGGGAGGCTAGAGGGGGTGGAGGGATCCACCGCCACCACCCTCTAATCCGCTCGTGGCCACTGCCAACTCGCCGCCACCACCGCCGTATCCACCGCAGGAGGGAGGCGAGAGGGAGAGGAGGAGGGGCGAGGGAGGCGAGACAGGGCGGAGGGAGCGGCTGCCAGCGAGGGAGGCGAGACGGGACGGAGGGAGCCGCCGCATCCGCCTCTCGCGGGAAGGAGGGAAGGGCACACTGCAGCCGCTCGTGGGTTGGGGGGAGGAGGGCGCCGCCGTCGCTGTTCGGTAGGGGAGGTCGCCGCTGCTGCCGTCAGTTTTCGATCAAGAGCGAGCGAGAGAGAGAGAGACAGAGGAGATCGGAGGCGGAGAGGGGGGAAGAATTTTAGGGTTAGGGTTTTTGCTGCAGATATTTATATTGGTTCAATCTGGACCGTCCATTCGATAGAACGGCTCCGGCTTCTCCCGCATCGGGCCACTGGACTATTGGGCCTCCGCATTATTGGGCCTCCAAATAGCCCGCAATTAAAATCAATGTTTTCTCTCTCAGTAATTTTAAGCATCTTTCTATTTTTAAGAAATAGCATTAATACCATTTTAATTGTTTATGACTGCTTATTAATTTAATTCCAACTAAATTCAATAAACTAAAAATTTGCCTAGATTTTTCTATTTATTTTTCAAATAAAAATGTAATTTATTTCTCATGATATAGAATTTAAATTTAGACTAAAATTAAATAATTTCAATTATTTTTTAATTCTATATGGACTCTATTCTTCTTCCAATATTCCTATTTTTTTATTGTTCTAATTAGTTTTCTATATGGACTCTAAACTCTTCTTTCAATATTTTTTATTTTGAATTTTAATTCTTTTTCTAAATTGTATTCCTATATGCACTCTAGGCTCTTTTGGAGAATATATTCTATGACTCCTCATCCAATATTATTTATGATTGGACAACGTGATCTTTTTTTAAAAAAAAAGAAAGAGTCCTTGTCTACAATAAGTTCTCCTTATTTTTTATATTTTACTCCAATTAATATGAGAATTTCTAGACCATAAGAGCTAACATGGATGCTCTTTTTTCTATAAGTTTACTAAGTTAATAACATTAGTTTTTTCCCGTTGCAACGCACTATTGAATAATAATTTATTATGAGCTACTATATTTCTCTGTATCATTTGAGACTTTTTATAGCAAGCAAAAATTCAATAATTTATTATGAGCTACTATATTTCTCTCTATCATTTGAGACTTTTTCTAGCGAGCAAAAGTACCAAAACAGTGTGAAAATAACTTTGGTTAATACACCGTAGCGAAGCACGGGTATTTTGCTAGTATAATATAATACTAGCATGTTAATTAATTACACCACGTTTATGTACTCTATCTATACTCGTAAAGGAATTCGTTTTGGACAGTGACACGGTCTCCAAAACACAACTTTAACTTCTTATTTATATAAAAATATTTATTGAAAAGTGATATATGTATACTTTTATAAAAATATTTTTCAAGACAAATCTATTCATATAATTTTTACATGTTTAAACTCAACAACTTGAGAGTATTCATAATTTATATTTCCAAGGTTTGACTTAAACATTGTACTAAACGACTTCATTTACGAGTACGGATGGAGTATAGTAGTACTCCTATATGTTAGTTAGAGCTATCTAATTACGGCCGAGTGTTAACATCAAAATTTGAAATGGTTTTTAATGGATTCAGTAAAGGAAAGAAATTAATTGGAAGATGGAAGTCAGCAATACAAATTTTTTTTAATAAGAACAACGGTCAAACATGTGCTAAAAAGTTAACGGTGTCAAACATTTTGAAACGGAGGGAGTATATAGCTAGCGAAAGTGAAAGTACCCTGATCTTGCGTAATTCGCGTCAGCACCATCTGCGTCATCTTTTACACGGCATGTAATGTACTGACGTACATATGCTTGCAGTCAAAGTCTCATGCCATGTGTAGCTAGCTAATTCAGTTCGGAATTTCGTTTGTCCATATGGATCTCTGCGCGGTCATGCACAGGGATCATTGACCATTTGACCATACTCCATAACGCTTGTACACGTACGCTAGCTAGCTTTGATCGACTTGCCACACTTCAATTTAGTTCCTAATGAGCAGCTTACGTAATTGCCTCGAATGGTCTCATGTATACACATGGGTTTGCCTAATTGCATAGCTTTTTCGTTGGTTTGCTCGCAACCTTGGTACCTGAAGATATTGTGACAAGATGCATGCGACCCCTTGATGATAAATCAAACATGTCCAATTTAAGCCCTTTTTTTAAGGGTAATTTAAGACCTTCTTCTTGACAAAGTAGTAAATGTACTACCGAAGGAAATTTGGACGACTTGCAGATTATTGCGATATTTGCAACGAGGCCCAACTAATTAATTACAAGAAGGCCGTAGCATTTGGTTCACGGCGTGGGCCTGATGCTGCTGGTTTGGGCCGAAGAGTATGTGTGATGTGGGCCCACCTACCACACGCTCGCTAATGGGCCGGACCGAGAGGAAGCAGCCCATAAATTTCATTTCTCGTAGGTGGCCCAGGTTTTGAACAAACGTTGTTAACACAGAGACTTTATTTGTGGATTTTGATTCCGGGATCTCCCCTCCCTTGTTTAAAAACTACAGTTTTCTACAGCAACATTGTTACGTACGCTAAGTTACTGGTCCCAATCAATTAGCTAGAAATATATAGCTAATTCTAACATTCGAAGTATATGAAAAAGATAGAGCTACGTACTTATCTAGCTAATTCTGCATCATAGGAGTCATCGAAAGATGAGCAGTTACGCTTTGCTTCATAAGGTTCAACACCGACTCGTTTCTTTGGAAGATTTAAGATGGGAAAAAAGAGCTCCATGTGACACTATACGGCCAAAGACATACTCCCTCCGTTTCTAAATGTTTTACGTCGTTGATTTTTTTAAATATATTTGACCGTTCATCTTATTCAAAAATTTTAAGTAATTATTAACTTTTTCCTATCATTTGATTCATTGTTAAATGAACTTATATTATACATATAGTTTTACATATTTTACAAAGGTTTTTGAATAAGACAAACGGTTAAAGATGTGCTAAAAAATCAACGGTGTCAAATATTTAAAAACGAAGGGAGTATCATATATGATATGCGGAAAGAGAGAAAGCGCACGGGCAACAGAAATTTTTTTACCGCGAAACAACATGAGCGCCTCCTATCATAATTTTATATTAATAAGAAATAATATTTACCGAGAATTATAGGTAGTGCGTATGCTCCGAGTCGAGGTAGCGCGCGTTTCTGGGCGCTATACCATCGCGCGCGCGGCTCCAACGTGCTTTTTTTTCAGTTTCCTGTTATACTAAAAATTTAAAGATATATTTTATAAATTGAATCTTTCGCCTCCAATTTCCGTTGAAAGTTTTTTAAATTTAAGTTGAATGTTTTTAAATTTTGAGATGAAAGTTTTCAAATTTAAATTGAATATTTTGAATTTTGAGGTGACAGTTTTAATTTGAGTTGAAAGTTTTCAAATCTTGACTTGAAAGTTTTCATTTTTGAGTTGAAAGTTTCAAATCTTCAGTTGAAAGTTTTCAAATCTGAGCTAAAAGTTTCAAATCTTAATTTGAAAATTTTCAAATCCGAGCTGAAGGTTTCAAATCTTGTTTTGAAAATTTTTAAATCCGAGCTGAAAGTTTTCAAATCTAAGTTTAAAGTTTCAAATCCGAGTTGAAAAGTTTTTAAATCTGAGTTGGAAGTTTTCAATCTTGACTTGAAAATTTTCAAATCTAAGTTAATAGTTTTTAAATATAAATTTATACTTTCAATTCTGGACTTGAAAGTTTTCGAATCTAAGTTGAAAAAAATTTCAAATCTTAGTTTACAACACGAAAAAAAGAAAAATAACGCGCATAAAAAACTTTTTGCCCGAAAAAAAGGGAAATATGTAAAGGAATTCTTTTTCGGTCATGCGTAACGCGAAACGCGTAACAGAAAATTGGACCCACAACTGCCTTGCACCTCGTGCGTGCGACTTGGTGAAACGGCGCGTACGTGCCAATTAGCCATCCCAATATTTATAAGGTTTATGTTTACAAGATAAAGAAAGTAGAAGAAGAGAAATCCAGGTGAATTAGTAGGGTTATTTTGTTTTTACAAAATTTTAGTTATTGTTGGAGCTGGTGGATAATGAGTAGACTCAATATAAAATAATATAATATTTTCTTAAAGAGTTTAGATCACTTACCTGAACACTAAAACATATATTAACGTACATGTAATTTTAGTTTTCTTTTTTCGTTTGAACACACGGATATTTTTTCTAGTTACATGGTAAATACGTACAAGAAACCTTAATGTCAGTTGTGCAATTGGCCCACACATATCATATAGGGCACTGAAACCGGATTCTCCGACATAGAGGATTTCTATGTAAGAGAGACATCCGTGCCAGATCACTATCAATTCCGCATCCAACGGGAGCATCGTTTCAAAACCTTTCCTCCGTCGGCGTGTTCCTCCGGGCGCCATAGGGGGAGCCGGAAATGATGTTGCTGCCAGGGTTCACAATTCCGACGAAAACCGGTCGAATTTCACGAAATTTCAACATTTCGACACGGCTCGACATTAAGTTTCGGCTGGAATTTCGAAGGTTAAACAGTAGATTTGGTCAAAATTCAGTCCAAATTTATCAAAAACCGATCGAAATTTATCGAAACCGTGATACCGATGGGGATCAACTGGTAATGTAAACCCTGGCTGCTGCTTTCCCCATTGATTGGACCGATCAACAGAGGAGAGGCTGGAAATGATGCTGGCAGGCACACTCTCAGGGAGCACCCGGCGAACGACAACTAGAAGGATCGAAATAGCAATGGCCATTCGGATCCACCCCAACCTGATCCGGAGCAACCCCTGCAAATGCAAGCACGATAGAGCAATATATATACTGTTATTGACCACTTCATTTGACCAAATTAATATGCAGCTAGGACAAGTACTGGAAGCCCCAAAAAAAATCAAATTAAGATAGACACCAGCTGGGTACTTACTACATTCTGCGACGGGACTGTTGATGATCATCAGAGCGGCGATAATGGCCATGAGTAGCATGATCGCAAGGACACGGCCAGATGTTGCCGAGGATGCCATTATATTGACACTACTGCTGGTCTGTTATCACCTCGATTTGAGTTAGTATATGTTGCATTTATTGTTGAATCTCCATTGGCCCTGCAAGCTGTATTTATAGCATTTACATATGCATGCAACCCCTATATGTGCGCCTCTTATCATGGTTGGACACACCCAAGACTAGTCTTAATTAGAAGGGCAAGTGGTTTCATTAATCTTGACTATATGTGTGCATGCCTAACCTTGACTAGCTAGCTTTTTTCCAGCCGCCTTAGAAAAGGTATAAGGCATGTTTGAATTGCTACCCTATCTATTTGTTTTGTAGTGTCAAATCTTAGATAAGTTTTGGTACTACCAATATGTTGGTAGAGATTTCTATTGATCGGATAAGTTTTGGAATTAATCCAGACATCACACAAAGTACTATGTAGACTACCAATAATTTGGTACTGCAAGATTTAATTGGCATTAAACCAAAACAGTTTATACACGGATACACCTCTTCATGTATTTGTGAGGTAGAAACATTAACGATACTATTTTACATTTGTCAAAATAAATTTCTTTAAAAAAATTATCTCATATAAATATATAGTATAATTATAGTGGTAAAATGTATGTAGTTATAATAATACATATATAAGTCATGTTTCTATACTCATGCTTTATAACATTGACTAGTTGGTTGATAGAAGACTGACACCAAATGTGAAGGCATGTTTCGATTTGGACGCTAGCTTGCCATTAGGCCCACTACTCACTACAATGATTATGCCCTTTATTGACGAGCCGTTTTCTTCGAGATCTAACGAAATTTCATCACAACTCTATTTTGTGATGACCTTGCCATGAAATCGCACTGTCACAGAAGCTCCATCTAGAATTACCTAATGAGACCAGTTAAAAAGGTCACAAAGTTACATTCGTCACAAATTGTTGTTACATTCTTTTCATCGTGAAGAGACTTAGTGACATTCCAAATCGTAACCGAACAAGTGAAAACCGTTATACATCGGCTGCTCCAGTGTCGCAGTGTCGTCGCTGCTTGGACAACCCGATGACATGGATCCGATGTGGACAAAGGTGTGAAGGCATGTTTCGATTTGAGACCGCTATAGCGCCATTAGGCCCACCACTTCATGTGACATGCAAATCGTTAAGCACCATTTTCTTTATCAATAATAAGAGCTTTTTCTCCCGCCTTCGAAAAATAAAATATATATACCTCTCTTCCCTATTAGAAAGGTGGAGAAATTAGCAATTTCACTGTACATATGTCGTCAAATTTTCTCTCCAACATTTATCAATTGCAAGAATAGTATATAGATGCCCTACTTTATCAAATTTTCTCTCCAACATTTATCAAATTGCATTTGTATACAAATGCAATTAATTACTCATAAATATATAATCATTAACATAAGCTAGATAGCGGGGTTGTTATACCCAAGTGCAACAGTGTTTGAGTCCTAGCCTCAACAATTTTGGGAGTGCAAATATGTGAGTAATTAGTTAGTGGGTATACTATATACGTGCAGTAATTATTGTGTCTATGGGCTTGTTCTCAAAGGAAAAATCATTAGCAACAACCAGTAGCTAGTGTACTTGGTACCTCATTTTGGGCTACTTCGAAACACAGGATTATCAAAACACAGGAATAAAAAAGACATAAGAATAACATGTTAATTTATTGGACTTTTATATATAGGATTTAGAAATAAGAAAGTTTTAAAATTATTGTCTAATAGTCATCGGAAAAAGTAGGAATTCAAGACAAGGGATGAAGAAAACCGATTGAGATCATCTGCAGTCAAATGTACGGTGCCTTTGTCACTAACATGTGGGCCCAGAGATATCGGACCCATATGTTAGTGACAAAGTAACGTGACTTCGACCGTATAGTATCCTGATCCGAAGAAAATATGAGGTAAGACCTCATGCCTCATGCTCATTTCTAGAATGCAGTCTCTAGCATGCTTACAATCAGCAACGACAAGTAGCATATTTCTTGAATGCAGTCTCTGTCTGCTACATTAATCTTGCATCCATTTCAAGAGGCGGGCCCAAGGGTGAGGCCATGATTTCCCCGTTCTCTTCCACAACTAATTATTTTTTAAGTAAATACATGTTTTTTTTCCATCAATAATTTGAACATATATATATATATATATATATATATATATATATATATATATATATATATATATATTAGTAGATGTTAGTGCAAACTTTGATTATCCTCCCTCAAAATCACGCACCAACCATTTCATGACCACATCACACGCATGTCTCTGACATATAGTTAGAGATGCAAGTGGTCGACCCGCGAACCCACCTATAGATCAAATAACTGGATAATCCCGCGTTGTGGTCTAGTTTGTTGCAACTAAGCAAGTGGATCGACCCGTAAACCCACTTATAGGTCAAATTAGTAGGTAACTCATGAGTCAATCCGTGGGTTAACCACTAATTTTGTTTATAAAGTGGGTTCGTGGGTCGGTCCACTTGATTACATACAACATATTTTTCGCTTTGTTGTTTCACTCCGTTGTGTTAATTTAATAAATGCATGCATGGCAACATTAAGAAACATAGTAAAAACAGACGCTCGTATATACATGCACCTACTTGTCCTTATACACATGCACACGTTATTCGTATAAGTACCTTGAGAGACTGGACTGATATCTTATTGTTGATTAGTATATATGTCATTTATCACTGAAATAATAATTAACTATAAATATAAATATTCATGTTAAGTTTAGGATTTAATCCCGGACAGAAAAGATTCATCACAAGTAACTTAGTCAGTAACATTTTGACGGCACAGCAGAATTAAAATGGAGTACTTGGCCAACTTGCTTTACAGAATGTTGACTTCGCTTAATGCATTTTTTTTATCTAAAATTGAAAAGGAATAATTGAGATTGGTGAAAGTAATATATATGTGCAAAAGAAAAATATCAGTACGAATCTACACTAGTTGCCATAGTGCATCTTCACCGGTCACTTCTTTTTGTTTACTGAAGTTTTATTAATTAGCAAATTAGTTACTGTCAACTTTAATCCGCCGTCGTCGCTATGCGAATAATTGACAGCCATTTCAATTGTTCCCTTGAAGGACATGAATCTATATATGTGGTTGATTGTTAGAAGCAGCAGTCAACTTCAATTCATGGTTAATATACTCGTAAACAAAGACTAGCTTTCCTAGCTACTCCTAGCTAGCTACGTACTCCCTCCGTAAAAAAAAAAAGACAATCTCCTTGTACAATGAATTTGAACGGAGGGTTGTCCAGATTCGTTGTACTATGAGGGATCTTTTTTTTTGGATGGAGGGAGTATATAACTAAACATATATAATTAGCAAGTGTTTTGTTATTATGGTGGGAGCAATATGTTTTGTTATTATGGTGGATTTTGATAATCTTGTTTGCTATAATAACTTTTGGATATTTCTATGTTTGACAAAATGTCTTTATTTTAATCTAAACCACAAACGATACATCTATAATGTTCCAAAAATAAAACAATTGAGAGAGGTGTGTTACAGCTAGCTAGATAACATATTTGTCTGACTGTAATTTGATCTCTCTATATATATAACAAACTACAACGATTATAAGTTTCATTTTCATATCAAGTTTAAAGAAAATGCACAACTCAACACATAATGCCAACCCCAATCTGAGCCTAAGTACGATTTAGTTTAAATCATATTGTTAGAGACTGAATCAAATTGGAAAGCACAGCCTGCTTTTGGTGACATTTTTTAATTTCCCAGATGGGGTCAGTCAATGGTGATTGTTGCAGCATTAATTTAATCAAAATGGAAATGCAAATTGAACTGCTACTAAGCACCTTAAACAGCTCAAATTAACCCCATACACATTTCATATCTAGTAGATCTCCCAAGAGGGATTAACAAATCAAATATTGTATAACATCAGATATTATTAGATGAAACTCACCTAAATTATGGTGCAGATCGAAATACAATTAACTGAGCCTTTTAAAATATATGTTACTAATTGTTTTATTTTGTTTTTTCTAAGTTTGGTGATTTTGTTTAAGAATATATCTCATATAAAATAAAGATATGTTTTTCTGAGGTTGGAAAATCAGGAGAAAACGATGATTTATATTCTAACCTTATAATGTACAATAGATAGATCTGAGTACTAGCTCTCTGTATTACACACAGGGGAGAAAAACTGGATCTGATCAGTACATGTTACAGTATTCTCTACAAGCCAATCCGGTTCTAAATAATCAATTCTACACTGCTGAAGAGGATGCTGGGAATTAAAAAAAAATCCCAAAATCCCCACTCACACCATAGAATTCTGAAACTAGCTATTTGAACATTGTAGCACAATATGTGCAGTCAATAGATGTCGAAATTAATTAAGCGAGAAAAAAAGATTATCATAGACAAAGAAAAAACATATTAACTGGACCAAGCTAGAAAAAGGAAACAAGCAGATATATATGCACTTCAGAAACATATGCATGCATAAATATGCATCTAGCTAGATGATCCCAGCCAACAAATTAAAACTCGGTACTTGTTGTAGAGAAGATGACTGACCCATCACCATTGATTGGCTAATTCTTCCATTAATTCGATCCTGGCGATAAGAAGGCAATTAAGCTAGATTGGGCATGTACATATGCTAGGTTGGCCTTATAGTTTGTAGATCTAAGCATCTAGCAGAGAGAAGGGGTTCATATCATGCTTGCTTCTAACTAGCTAGCTAGGGTTTTAGTAAGCTCTTTTTGTGCTGCCATGAGAAGATGAAACTGCCAGATGATCTGATGCATGTCTCTAGGTTTTGTAAATCATCATCAGCTAGAGAACTACTGTGATCAGATCATGCTGGCAGCTTCATCCACTTGTGGTGCACCATACATATGAGAGAGAGAGAGAGAGAGAGAGAGAGAGAGAGAGAGATGTTTGGGGAGAAAATGGAGGTTAGGCAAAGATGTGATTGTGAGAGGAGTCATTAGGGCTTCTTATTGAGCTTTTGGACTTGCTAATGCACGCCTGTTTGTGTACTGCTTGTGCTGGGAGAGGTGCTGTGAAAGAATAATTCAGAGGTTGTGTGGTCCCTGAGAAGAAGAGAAGTAGAATATTGGCATGCTCACCCGCTATCATGCACGCCAAGCCTTTTCTATATATATAGCGGGCTTTTTCAAAAGCTTCTCAGGGTCTTTCGTGCATCTCTATGCATATAATTGTGTTAGTACGAAATTCGTGCAGGAGGGTACGTGTCGCTGCTTGGGTTGCACAACAGAGATAACTAAAGAAAAATTACTTCCCACTTCATATGTGTATGAATATGAAGTACAACTTTTATAATTTACCGTTGTCGCCGTATATAGTTTTTTTAGCAACAACTAAAACTTGAGAAGGAGCTAATAATTTAAATTCTCAAAACCATGCATGAAACCTTAAACACTACATTATATTTTTAATATACTAATATTCAATGGTTTATAGTGCATCAATTAGTGGTATACACTGAAAAACCACATTCATATATGTTTTTTTAAGGCATCTATGATGCATTTGATCCCAGCAAAATTACTAACGCTCTAAATTCAGGTGTGCATAGCAATATTATTCCTATAGTGCAATGTCAAGGTAGGGGACCATGCTCCTACAGCACTGTTGTTCTAATGCAACCACACGCTAGTCGCTAGTGCACGCTCATCATCAAAGGGAACAAAAGGCTTAACCCCTGAATTAACATAAGCCAACAAGATCATGTGATCTCCCTATCTTTGCAAGACAAGATATGTGACATTAGTATTTCTTAACTTCCTGTGTCTCTCACTTTTTGAGTCAGGATCCAAGAACCAACCACCTTTTTATTTCTTCTGTTCATTCACATCAACTAGGGAGGATGAGGAGTCAAAAATCAGTTATGTACGTACATTGGTTCATGTACATATGCAAAATAGAATATGCCTCCATAGGCTTGTGTCTCACATGGAGACTGAAAAAAGGGCTAAATTAATTAAACTAGCTCACTTAAATATTGTAAGTGGGCTCATGTTATACCAATTAATCCTTATCAGTGTCCAATTCTAAATATATATAACTTAATTCAATTTCTTTTTATGTTATTGGTAAAATATATTCCCTTTTGGTAAAAAAATATTTGACATTGGGAAAATTGATCATCAAGTTAATTTAATTGGAGGGAGTATGTAGTTATCTCTACTACTATAAAAGTATAGTCGTCCCCTTTCTATCCCCTCCTCCCACGGCGTGCAGCACCTCCATATGTTTCGTGTGTGTAACCACCTAACCCAATATGCTTTATCCTCTACTTCAAAAAAATATATATATGCTTTATCCTTGTTCATCCTCCTGGACCATTCTTAATTATATGGGCCTAGTTCATTACAACATAAGGGAATGTTACTAGTAATTAAAAAAAAACTAGATTAATAAAAGGCTATGTTAGAAAAAAGAATTTAAATACAGCCTTTTTATATTTGGGTGCTCGTGCTTTCACCAAATCAAATATTTGAAGGCCGTATAACTGTAGTGCCATTTGTATTCTAAAAGAAAAGGCTGGACTGCTATTATAATCCATTGTGCTCTTCCTTGGAAAAAGTCTAATGTACCTCCCTAATCTCCTTGGACCGTCTCTTATATGGTGGGAATAAGTATATTTTTCATCTTCCATCTCTTTGGACGGTACCTTATATATCTCTGCGTTGCAGCGGCAACCAGATTGGCATGGCAAGTGCTTGACAACGACTATGACGAGGCAAAACCCAACCAGCCTTCCTCCTTAACCTCCGTCCTCTCCTACCCATAGCCACAGACAGCCGTGATCTCATCCTCTCTAGCCATGTCAGGAGTCTAGATGGAGAAATGGAGTTTCAGACTGAATATTCAGAGAAGTTCAGTTTCAGGGTGGAGAAGGAGTTCAGGAGAGAAGAAAACGTTTCAACAGAAGAGTTAAGTAAATCCAACGGCAGAGATGCAGTCAGAGGGAGATCAGATGGGTGGCAATAGTTGGGACCACTGTAGCTGTCTTCTTTTGCCTTTTTAGCTAGAATCGCGCGTCAGATGCTGTTTACTTTGCTTTGAGATGATCTTTACAGCTAGATGTAAACCTTGAGATGTAAGCTACTTATGGAGGCCATTGGCCCTAGAAAAAAAAGTAATCAACATCCTCAATTATTACCTGTAGCTTAGTTGCATTAGTTTAGAACCCTAGAAAGATCCAAATTGCTGCATACTCTGTTCGTCCATTTCGCTAGCAGGGTCTTGACAGAGGTATCAGAGCATCTACGATTCTTGGCTCTTGATTCTGTCCGGTGAGGGTTGGTGGACGACGGCGGTGAATTCCATCGTAAAATCCCTGAGCTAGGGCAGAATCAATCCGGAGGCGCGGTGGTGTTCTTGGTTGCTAGAGCAAGGGTTGGGGTGCCACTCTTTGGGTGTGCTCCTGTAAAATCTCCGGAGCTCGCAGCTAAGGATAGGCGGCGTTTCTGTTGGGATCTAAAGGGGAGGAACTAGTTTCCGAGCCGATCCTGCAGAAGAAGATGACCAAGACTCGCTCAAGCGAATCGTTGGTGGATTTGGAGGAGATGAATGAGTTCAGGACAAATCTGGCGTTGTTAAAGAAAGATGTGGCTGATCTGAAATCTCTCAAGGGGGAGGTCAAGGAAATCAAGGGGTTGCTGTTGGAGCTTTGCAAGCAGAAATCAGTCGTAGAAGGTGGAGAAGAGGTAGTCACTGAAACAGCAGCCACGAAGGGGACGTTGGGTTCGAGTACTGAAGCAGCTGGAACAAGTACTGGAGGAATTCCGAGGACAGCAGCTCCAGAGGTACGATTTGCTATTGAAACTAATACGGTTGTGCCTACTGCTCCCATGACCACAAGGAGTCTGTCGTGTCCGATGGGAAATAGTGGTGTTCAGGGGTTTGGAACTACTCATCCAGAACCCACAGTGTTTACTCAGGGTGAGAATCATACAGGAAGGATGGGGAATTCAGACAATGGTGGTCAGGGGTTTGGGCATACTAGGCCAGAATCGACTCTGTTTACTCAAAGGGAGAATTTCTTTGGAGAAAAGAACAATTTTGGGTTTGGACCTACTCTGAATCGAGGGGTGAATAGGGGTGTCAATCAGTGGAATACTGGGGTACATGTCATTGACCCGCAGATGCATCTGTTTGGTACTGCAGCAAGAGAGGGGAATCAATATGCTGAGGCTGTGATTAAGGGGCCCAGATTGGAGATATCTCTTTTTACTGGTGAAGACCCTGTAGATTGGCTGAAGCAGTGTGAAAAGTTCTTTGAGATCACTGGGACCCCAGTGGATCAATGGGTAAACTTGGCAGTGGCACATTTGTATGGGAGAGCAGCTAAGTGGTTCAGAGGTGTAGGGCTGCCTTGGCAAGTAATTACTTGGCCACAATGGTGTGCCATGGTGTGCACCAGATTCTCTACTGCCAATACCCATGAAGCTGTTGAGTTATTCCAGAATGTAAAGCAGTATGGAATGACAGTGGAGCAATACATCGATAAGTTTGAGGAATATATGGATTTGGTTAGGAGGGACCATCCATATCTTCAGGAGCCATATTTTACTAGTTGTTTCATTAGTGGGCTGAGGGGTGATATCAAACATGATGTGTGTGGTCAGAAACCCCAGGGACTGTTGGAGTCATATTGGTATGCTAAGAACTATGAAAAGGCAGCAAACTCTAGGAAAGCAGCAGCAAATTTCAACAGAAACAGACTGCAGACTGGGGGTAACACAGGAAAGAATGTGTATAACAAGGGGCAACCGAGGCAGGAAGGGGATAAGAAGGAAGAGAAGAAATGCTGGTTCTGTAAAGAGCCTTGGTTCCCTAGACACCAATGCAAGGTTAAACAGGCTATACATGCCTTATTGGTTGAAAATGAGGAGTCAGTTGAGGTGGAGGAAGATTCTGTAGAGGAGGAGGAAATAAAAGGAGAGAAGCAAGGAGAAAAATTGCCAGAACAAACTGAAAATGTTCAGGAGGAACTGATGAGTATATCTCAAAGTGCAGTTTATGGTCTCACAAGACCTGATACCTTTTCAGTTATGATCAAAGTAAATGGGAAGAAAGCAGTGGGATTGGTTGACAGTGGGAGTACTACTACTTTCATGGATAGCAAGTTTGCAATCAAAAGTCAGTGTACTTTGGAGAATACTAAAATGAGGAAGGTGATAGTGGCAGGAGGAGGAGAATTAAAATCTGAGCTGATAGTACCAGGAATGGAGTATGAGATACAAGGGGAAAGCTTCACCAATTCATTCAACTTGTTGTCTTTGGAAAGATATGACATTATCTTAGGGGCTGATTGGATTTTCAAATACAGTCCAATCACTTTGGATCTCAGGAAAAGGGAGATGAAGATAACCAAAGGTGGTAGGGAATTGGAAATTCAGGATTTCACTAAACCTGGTAAATACTTTCAGGTTAGTAACAAGAAAATGGGAAAGATGATTAAGAAGGGAGCTTTGGGGTGTGTGATTCAAATCAATGCTATTACTGATCAAAGTAATGTGGAGGTCGGGATTCCAAAAGATATACAGATAGTTTTGCAATCTTTTCCTAAAGTTTTGAAGGAGCCTAAAGGATTGCCACCCAGGAGGAGTTGTGACCATGTGATTAATCTGAAAGTGGGGTCTGAGCCACCAAATCTCAGACCATATCGGGTACCACACTTTCAAAAGGGGGCCATGGAAGATATTATAACTGAGCTGTTCAGAACACAAGAGATCAGAATCAGTGATAGTCCTTATGTCTCTCCTGCTGTCATGGTTAGAAAGAAGGATGGGTCCTGGAGATTGTGTGTGGATTACAGGCAATTGAATGCTCAGACAATAAAGAACAAATTCCCAATGCCTATAATAGAAGACTTGTTGGATGAATTACATGGAGCTAAGGTTTTTTCTAAGTTGGATTTGCGATCTGGGTATCACCAAATAAGAATGGCAGAGGGTGATATTCCAAAAACAGCTTTTAGAACACACCTGGGACATTATGAATATAATGTGATGCCATTTGGTCTGACTAATGCTCCAGCAACTTTCCAAGCACTAATGAATCAGGTATTGGCACCATTCCTTAGGAAGTTTGTATTGGTTTTCTTTGCTGATATATTAATATATAGCAAAACTCAATCTGAACATCTGGAGCATATTAAACTGGTGATGCAAGCGCTTTCTGCAAACCAATTGGTGGTGAGGTTAAAAAAGTGTGAGTTTGGACTGGACAGAGTTAGCTATTTGGGACACATCATCTCATCAGAAGGAGTGTCAACTGATCCTAAGAAGATAAGTGATATTAAAAACAGAAAACCACCCAAGAATGTAACTGAAGTAAGAGAGTTCTTGGGTATGGCTGGGTATTATAGAAGGTTTATTAAGGGATATGGAGTTATCTGCAGACCCCTGCATGATTTGCTGAAGAAAGATGGCTTCAAATGGGGTGATACTCAGCAGGAAGCATTTGAATTGCTGAAAGAGAAAATGTGCAATAGCCCAGTTTTGGCTTTACCTGATTTCAGTCAACCTTTTGTGATTGAGACTGATGCTTGTGGGATAGGAATTGGTGCTGTTTTGATGCAGAAGGGTAGACCACTGGCCTATTTTAGTAAGGCATTAGGTCCCAAAGCAGCTGCTCAGTCTGTATATGAGAAAGAAGCCATAGCAATTCTGGAAGCTTTAAAGAAATGGAGGCACTACATCTTAGGGGGAAGTTTGATCATTAAGACAGACCAGCAGAGTCTGAAGTTCATGATGAGTCAAAGATTGGTTGAGGGCATTCAACACAAATTGTTACTGAAGTTAATGGAGTTTGATTATGTGATAGAATACAAGTCTGGAAAGGAAAATCTGGTGGCTGATGCGCTGTCCAGGAGCCCAAACTTGAAAGAAGAGCAGTGTTTACCCATAACAGTTGTTGTACCAGAGTGGGTTCAAGACATCAAGAGGAGTTATGAAGAGGATATATTTGCACACAAAATTTTGAGTTTAATTGAAACTGATGGTGACCCTGAGAGACATTATAAATTGGAGTCTGGGCTGTTAAAGTATAAAGGAAGGATATATGTGGGGGAAACCACTGAAATCAGAATGTTATTACTGGAAGCTTATCATGCATCATATTTTGGGGGACATTCTGGAATTAGGGCAACATACCATAGAATTAAACAATTGTTCTATTGGCCTGGACTGAAGAAACAAGTCGAGCATTATATCAGAGAATGTCCCACTTGTCAAATTACCAAGGCAGAACACATACACATTCCTGGTTTACTCAATCCATTGGAGGTACCTGATATGGCTTGGACCCATATCACTATGGATTTCATAGAAGGTTTGCCAAAATCTCAAGGGAAGGATGTGATTCTAGTAGTGGTGGACAGGCTGACAAAATATGCACACTTCTTGGCTTTATCTCATCCATATACTGTGGAGCAAGTAGTTCAAATATTTATGGACAATATACACAAACTTCATGGGATGCCTATGGTCATAGTCACTGACAGGGACCGAGTTTTTACCAGTAATTTCTTCCAAGAGATATTTAAAACTCAGAAAGTCAAACTTCGATTTAGCACTGCACATCACCCACAGACTGATGGGCAGACAGAGAGAGTAAACCAGTGCCTTGAATCATATCTAAGAAGTATGACTTTTCAGGAACCCCAGAAATGGTTTTCTTGGCTAGCTTTGGCCGAATGGTGGTACAATACAACTTATCACACCTCCATTCAAATGACACCGTTTCAAGCTTTGTATGGATATCCTCCACCACAGATTACTGAGTTTGCCATTCCTTGCAACATGTCTGAAGAAGCCAGGGTGACACTGGAAGATAAGGCTCTAATCTTGCAGAAGTTGAAGAGCAGTATAGGGGAAGCACAAAGGAGGATAAAGTTTTATGCTGATAAAGGCAGATCTGAAAGAACGTTGGAGCTAGGAGATATGGTATACTTGAAGTTACAGCCATATAGGCAAGTTGCCATGGGAATTAGAGGGTCACTGAAACTCAGATCAAAGTATTATGGTCCATTTAAGGTGATAGAGAAAATGGGTGCAGTGGCTTATAAGTTACAGCTACCAGATGGGGCAGGCATTCATCCTGTGTTTCATGTGAGCCAACTTAAGAAGCACTTGGGAGCCAGAGCTATTCCAATGCCAAATCTGCCAGCAATCGGACCTGATGGGCAGATTAAGACTGAACCTGCTGCTGTGTTACAAAGAAGGATGATTCCTAGACACAATGAGCCAGTGACACAATGGTTGATCCTTTGGGAAAACTTAACCCCAGCTGAAGCAACCTGGGAAGATGCTTCTTATATTCAGGCTGCATTTCCAAATTTTCAACCTTGAGGACAAGGTTGTTATTGGAAGAGAGTATTGTCAGGAGTCTAGATGGAGAAATGGAGTTTCAGACTGAATATTCAGAGAAGTTCAGTTTCAGGGTGGAGAAGGAGTTCAGGAGAGAAGAAAACGTTTCAACAGAAGAGTTAAGTAAATCCAACGGCAGAGATGCAGTCAGAGGGAGATCAGATGGGTGGCAATAGTTGGGACCACTGTAGCTGTCTTCTTTTGCCTTTTTAGCTAGAATCGCGCGTCAGATGCTGTTCTGATGCTGTTTACTTTGCTTTGAGATGATCTTTACAGCTGGATGTAAACCTTGAGATGTAAGCTACTTATGGAGGCCATTGGCCCTAGAAAAAAAAAGTAATCAACATTCTCAATTATTACCTGTAGCTTAGTTGCATTAGTTTAGAACCCTAGAAAGATCCAAATTGCTGCATACTCTGTTCGTCCATTTCGCTAGCAGGGTCTTGACAAGCCACCCACCGCCACCACCTCCCTCCCGCGGATGAGCTCACCAATTGTGCCCCTCTCCTCCGCCGGCGAGTTCCTAGGGAAGAGAGGGATAAGGTGAGAGATAGGGAAGAGATGCATAGGTATGAGAGGTGGAAGCCCACTTACATATGGGCCCTATATATCAGCGAAATCAGTCATCCATGCTGTCGTGAGACTTAATTCAACTCGATTTTATACGTTAGGGATCAAAACTTCTGATATTGCGGTTTAGAGATAATATAGTCGACCGAAAGTTGAGGGAGGTAAAATGACTCATTCCTTCCTGCGATTCCTTGTTATATTCAGGCCCAACTTTCTGCCACCTGTGCGGGCCATTGACCAGTTTCTCTCATTGTGTCCCTAAAAAAATGTTTTCTTTACTGTCTCAAAAAAAAAAAAAGCTCTCTTTGTTCTTCGTCAGAGAGAGTCCACGGGTTGACAGTTCCACTCCTGCTCTCTTGGAGGCTTGGAGATCAATCGATGGAGCACGTCCAGATCCCGAGAGTGAAGCTGGGAACCCAGGGCCTCGAGGTAAGCAAACCACCTGCAAGCTAGCTCTGCCTCCGAATCCCTTCTGGATGCGTCACAAATCTTTTTATTTCGGCGGTTTTTTTGGGGGGGAAAGGCGCGTTTTATCTTTGGAGAGGAATTGGGCAAAAAGAAGCGATTTCGTTTCCAGATTTCTGGGTTTTTTTTTTTTTGGATGCGATTCGTGGGTTTTCTTGATGCTAATGGGGGCGGGCTCGATCGATCGATCCCCGATGTAGGTGTCCAAGCTCGGGTTCGGGTGCATGGGCCTCACCGGCGTCTACAATGCGCCGGTCGCCGAGGAAGACGGCGTCGCCGTCGTCAGGCGAGCGTTCGAGGCCGGCGTCACCTTCTTCGACACCTCCGATGCCTACGGCCCGCACACCAACGAAGTCCTTCTGGGGAAGGTAATAAAATTACTTTATTTACTCCCTCCGTTTCTAAATATTTAACGCCGTTGACTTTTTAAAACATATTTGACTATTCGTCTTATTAAAAAAATTAAGTAATTATTAATTCTTTTCCTATTATTTGATTTATTGTTAAATATACTTTTATGTATATATATAGTTTTACATATTTCATAAAAGTTTTTTAATAAGACGAATGGTTAGAGATGTGCTAAAAAGTCAACGGTGCCAAATATTTAGAAACGGAGGGAGTATTTTTTATCTGACTGCGATGTTGAGTCTAGTGTGGAATTTGTGGCCGGTGGAGTTGGAGGGGATCATTGTGTTGGCATACTATTTGTGGATGATTATAAATGTGGATTTGATCGACAAGAATATTTATAGGCCTCATGATTCAGATTCTCATTCTTAGGAGTTAGGAGATTTTTGTGATGTTATAGTATGATTAGGATGGTATGCTTCTATTTTTATCTAAAGAACTTGTTTTGGGCAGTTCCAGTGTTGGGACTTATAATGATATCATTCTGCAGTTTCTTGTCCATGGTTTGCATTACATGCATTAGATTATGTGGAATTCTCATTATTTGTCACCATACATGTGGACCTAGATGAAATGGTATAATATGTTATTTAGCTGTTCTACAAAAAGTCATCTAAATGTTGTCTTTCTCTTTTTGTTTTGCGATGGTGTATTATCTTTCTTGATACAAGAGAATGTACCACATTTGCTTTATTAACCTATTACCCTATCGACTTGTCTATAAAAAATGATAGAATTTAGTTGCAGTTCGTACTTAGAATCAGGATTTTCTGCGCAAAATTACTTGGTACCTCTGTTTTAACAGTGCATGCATACTGCAGAAAGAGAACAGACAAGTGTGGAACGCGCCTACATAGGTTATTTTAATTGACGCGTGATCCTAGCTTTAGTGCAGATAAAGCCCAGAAAGTAGTACTGATTACCATTATGCCTTATTGACTAGTTAGTGATGTTTTGATTACCAATTTCTGAGATGGTCATCAGTGAGCCCCAAACTTTGTGTGAGCAGCAGTCCATCGTAACAAGCCAGTCACTCAATAACCATACAGTTTATTTATATAGGTTTCAGTAATAGTGAAGGAAACTCCCTGGTCCCAAATCACCAATCTTATTCCTCCTTGATATGTGAGTTGAAGCTTTTTTTCTCAGTAACTGGCGAATAACACGGATATATTGTTGACCAGGCACTGAAGCAACTACCTCGTGAGAAGGTACAAGTGGCCACCAAGTTCGGCATTGCAGGATTTGATGCCAATGGCATGCTTGTGAAGGGCACTCCGGATTATGTGCGTGCATGCTGTGAAGCAAGCCTTGAGCGCCTTGCTGTTGACTACATTGATCTGTACTATCAGCATCGCATTGACCAGTCAGTACCCATAGAGGAAACTGTGTGTATGAGAACATTTCTTTTACAGACCTTGTGCTTTACCTTGAATCCCTTAAACTTTGACTGACTTCATCAGTGGGAAAATGTAGATGGGAGAACTAAAGAAGTTGGTGGAAGAAGGTAAAGTTAAATTTGTTGGCTTATCTGAGGCCAGTGCTGATACCATTAGACGAGCACATGCAGTTTACCCAATCACCGCAGTGCAGATGGAGTGGTCTCTATGGACCAGGGATATAGAGGAAGAAATAATCCCGCTGTGCAGGTTCATGTACTTTCAATTTCATATACTTGTTACAGCATTTTTACTCTACTTTAGTTGCAGGAAATACAAGTACTTGCATGTTTCTGAAAGTAGTACAGCACTTACAAGTTATAACTGGAACCTTTGATTATGCCATTCGATCTTAAGGAATGCTTGTGTGTTTGTGACATTTTTAATATTGTTTTGTGCAAACAACGCATTATAGGGTGATTGTTTCTGCTGGGAAGTTATTAGATATGTTCAGATAGAGCTCTTTCTTCCGTTATATTGTTAGCTCCTATTCAAGTTTGTGCATCATTTACTCCTTGTTCATTGAACCTCCACATCGCTTCACCGTGCCACTCATTCGAAGCATTACTTGTGTTCAGGGAGCTTGGCATTGGAATTGTTCCATATAGCCCAATTGGCCGTGGCTTCTTTGCTGGCAGGGCTGCTGTACAGAGCATACCATCTGAGAGTTGGCTGGTAAAATTAAATTCACACTACTATAATCTTCTTCTACACAGGGAAGTTTGGGTATAGTCTTCTATTCTGCAGTTGAGTACATCCTATAACTTAGTATCTTCTTTGCTACTTCACAGACTAGACATCCAAGGTACAATGGGGAAAACTTGGAGAAGAATAAAGTTTTCTACACACGAATTGAAGAGCTTGCCACCAAGTATGGCTGCTCCCCTGCTCAACTTGCTCTCTCCTGGGTTCTTCATCAAGGGGATGATGTTGTTCCAATCCCTGGTAATGTGTTAAACATATTTAGTACGCTGTCAGTGTCAGAAGTATTTTCCTGTCTTGGATACTCCATACTGTCAGGCTTAACATGGTCTTTTACCTGTTCTAGAACATGGTTTCGTACATAAAATCACCTCTGGAAACTAGCTTCAGTTCTAGGACTCAATATTTCTTTTTTTCTTGAATTTGCAAGAGAGTTGTGTATCATTTCATTAAGTACTCCCTCCGTCCCATAATATAATTGATTTTAGGTGGATGTGACATATCCTAATACAATAAATTTGGACAGACCGTATGTCTAGATTCATTATACTAGGATATGTCACATCCACCCAAAATCCCTTATATTATGGGACGGAGGGAGTAGTACTCAATATTTCAATCAAATCAAATATTTATAGCAAATTAACCACATTGAGAAACATGTTTTTGACTTGGGAGATTTTGCTGGAAAGATTGTGTACCATACTTGGGCAGTTTTTTGCCGTAACCTGTGTGGTGGTGTGGCTTTACATACCAAATCAAATGATCTCGTGTGGGGAAGACCTACCTATATACAGGATGATCATTTCCTACTGATTTCATTCAAAAAGAGAATATCTTGGCGTATATTTAGGACTTCCCTTAATTCAGTGTAATTCTTTTTCTTTTGTTCCGTGTCTTGCTTCCTGAATGGACTACCATGGGAGGCAGAGCTTTACTTCAAATTTTCCCTACTTCATATGAAATGACAAGCAAAGCTAGTATGCTCTGTAAAAATTAATGAAATTAGAGTTAGACTACTGTATAGGAGATGCTTCAATCTAGCTCCTAATTAAGCTAGAACTGCATTCTAGAAAAAAGGACAGAATCATATAGTGGGGTGAAGAGATGCATATGAAGCTTGTGTTATCATGTCTAGCAGTTAGGAAATGAAGATTAGTTTGTCTTTTATTCTATTTGTTGAACAGGCTAGGTTATTGCACCACCTGAATATGCAACAGAGTAAATTGCTCTGTTTCTGTTCAGCTGCTCCCTTTTTTTCTTTTAGAAATTAGAAGAGCTGAAGAATTTTAACGGTAATATTGAAATTTTAGAAGCATGGTTCATGTGCTAAAAGAGTGAGTTAGCATGAGAAACGTCTTACACACCTAGCTAGTTAGGCATGCCTGTTGGCTTTCGAAATTGCGGTTTTACCTGATATGTGCTTTATGTGTAGGGTGTGAGAGTGAATTTGAATAATCTCCTGCTCAATGCCGCAATCCATCTTGACCTCCAAATTGCAATTAGGTGTTATTGTGTTCTTTCATACATCAAAATATTAAAAGCGGAGTCGTCTGTCTGCCCCCCCCCCCCCTCTCTTCCCCCCATGTCATGCGCAGCATGCTCCTTCTGAAATAAACTTTTCACTGGTTCAAGCTTGGCATCTGTTTTCCACTTCAGGAAGTACTGTGACCTGAGGATCAGATTCGCTGAAAGCATCCCTTTATTTAGAATATGTTCTTGTTATCAACTGATGTGATTCCCTTATAAGATTATATTCATGTTGTTAAAATAGCATGACAAAAAATACTCCATAGCTGATACAGTGGGCAATCTAGTTAAATATGATGTCTTCTTAGTGTTAATTCATGTGTTCTTTATGTAGGAATTATATTCTAGTGTTGTTCATACATATATAAGGTGCATTCCATCTAAGAAACTGCTCTTTGAATTTAGGCACAACAAAAGTGAAGAACCTTGATGATAACATTGGTGCTGTAAAGGTAAAGCTGAGCAAGGAAGACCTGAAAGAAATCTCAGCTGCTGTCCCTGCTGGCGAGGTGGCTGGGTCCAGACTTATTGGAGTACTGGAGCCTTATTCTTGGAGGGTTGCAAACACTCCACCTCCAAAATCATTGTAAATATTAAGATGCAAATTAAAATATACTCTAGCTATGCTATGTTTTATTTCTTTCTAGCCCCATTGGATACTTATTCAAGGCTTAATTTGAACAAACTATGTTTGTCCATGCCCAAGAAAAGATTGTGTATTTTGGGCAACAGATGTTATTGGTGTTGTACTGCTGTGTGCAATGTAGTGATTGCTTTACATTATCAAAAAAATATATGTCATATTGATGTTAAACTCATTTCTGTGCACTTAACTTTTATGTCACTGCATGAGTGAAGTACTAAAATCATCTCTCTTCCATCATATATTGAAAATGATACTACTATGAGTGGCAGAGGTTACAACATCTGCATACAGCTTTGTAGTGGTTGAAATTTCTCTTTTTGCTAGCTAGAGCAATAAGTGTTGTGTCACTTAAATCACAATCAATTTTACAGATTCTGGCAGTTCCATTTAGTTCTTTTGATTTTATCACAACTGATTTAAAGTTGTTGCTACTTGCTGATAACTGAGAAGCCCATGAAAACATGGGATGTTCAGCCTTACTAGTCTAGTCCTGCCACAAAATTTTACTGCCTTTTCACTGCCAAAGTGCTACATTTTACTCCTCATCAGCTTTTAACTTTAACCTTGCAGTACTCCCTCTTGCTGCAGGTCCAGAACATGTGCTACTCCTAGTATCATGGGATTTGAAGGTAATTTCTCCCAGTTTGCTACATCTTAGTATGTCCAGGTTTGTAAAGTATAATACATATCTTCGACAACATTTTGTAGTGCAGATTCTCATATGAATTATGCTGAACTTTGCAGGTGCAGCAGCAAGCAAACAAGAGACGACAATTAGAGTTGCCTAAGTAGGGCTGCACCGGTGGCCATGGTGTCCCTTTCAGGAGGAACCAAGGGAGCAGCTAGCTGACCAATTCTTTTTGAATGGATCTCGAGGCATTGTTCTCGGCTTGCGCTGCCCATGCATCACGCACCTCGAGCATCGGGGAATGCGCGTCGACCGCGGGACGATGGCGATGATGGTGAGTGCAAGGCCAGGGATGCCCACCAAGAACATATGTGCCCTCCACAGGTGGAACCTTTGGTTCTTTTCTTGGACCACCACCACTCCCAAATTCTGCTGCTGCAATGCAATGCAATGCCTGGACCAAAAACCTTGATGCAATTGAAAGCAATGCAGGTATGCATTACATCATGCAGCATATATAAGTGTGGACTGTATATGACTATGTGCATGCATGATTATTCGATGATTGATTGGTTGCTAATGCTCATAGTACTGTTCTGAATCCTGATCCAGCTACTGCAAATCTGCAATGTCTCTGCAGCAAGGTACGGTGTACATCTTCCTGAGCATGGTACAGCACTGAAAACTTTGCATCTGCCCATACATTTCCAAGAAAGCTACCTGTACGTGGATCATCTCATCATTTGTCACTCCATTCTAGCTTGCCAGGGGCAAATATTTCTTGGACTGAGCACTGAAATGATATCTCCATATACATAAACTAATTTTATTTGCTTGCATGATGCATTATTGTACTAACACTACAGCTAGTGGTTCAATTACTATTTGTATGCAGAAACGGATACTTGCTTCCTTCCTAACTAGCTGATCAGAATCAGCAACACAAAGCAAACTGTCAGGAAGTAAAAGAGGGTTATGCTTTTTGTTAATGCCTGGATTGCAAAAGGCAAAGAGAGGGGAATAAAGAAGAGAAAGCAAAGGAGAGGAAAAGCCAAGAGCAGAGAGGAGCAGTGATCTTTTTGGAGGAGGCCAGGGGAGGCAATTGGTATGCTCAGTGTACTAATTCCCTGCATATCTCACATGCACATAGCTTTTCTTCAAAAGCCTGGGTTAAGTATATGCAAAAACCTGCTGTGCATGCGTTGGGATATAATCCCTAGGTTTATTCCATATGTACACACCCATGCAAACTTTATATCCTTTATCCACATCTCATCAAGAATATTCTAGCATTAGGCTTTTGATCTTTTGCATGCCTACTGCCCCTTCTTTTTCAAAAGCATTTGGATCCGTTCAAAATGGTAGTTGTATGTAGCATGTATATATATGCATCAAGTCTTTACATTATTGTAGTATCACAATGTTATTAATGTGTGCTGCATTGATCAAACAGTGATTTTCGGTCTTAAGGAGTTACACGATTTTTAGCGTAATAGTTGGGATACTGTACCTTCTTTTTTTCAGTCAAACATTTTATATCTTTAACTATTCATATAGATGTTAATAAATTTAGGCACATATATATGTCTAATTCATTAACATATATATGAATGTGGACAATGCTAAAAAGTCTTATAATATGAAACGGATGAAGTATTTTCTACAATTTCATATAGTTCAACACCATAAGATTTATGTTATTAGATTCACCATGAGGAATACTTTCACAATATATAATTCATATGTTGTTAAACTACACCAAAATATAAAAAATCATGGTCAAATATATAAATGTTTAACTTAATTAGTACAAAGCTAGAACAATAAGAAATCGAGGGATTACTAGAAAAATATGATGCCTCTCGATCGGTACCTCTTCTCAAGTATCATAAAATTTCTCTCGATCAAATCCTAGCTTTATTTTGGTTTATTTGATATTTTTATTAATTAACCAATGTAACTAACCATATGTATGTTCATAGGTACGCTGATGGCGACTTGACATTTTTATACTAATGATGAACTTACTAATTAATGATTAGGAGTCAAAAAGGGTAGAGGAGCTAGGAGATGGGTGTGGGGGCACATGAGCATGATGCGTGTCAACGCACGGCAATAAAGAAGTTTGCACACATTTTTCACAAGTCCTTTTCATTCTTCTCTTCTCCATCTTTAATTCTCAAACTATGTGCTAGCTGATCAATTCCTCTACCTAGGGATTGCACATGTATATCTCTCGCCATGGATGGTCCCTGCCGAGAGCTCTAAGTCCTATGTACTATCCATATATACATGCATTCATGCATCATATGCACATGTGCACTGCTCATCATTCATGCATGCAATATGCAAATCCATGCATGTAAATTTGCTAAACAATCAGTAGTATAACTTTTGCATGCAGTGCATGCATGAAAGTGTTTTCATGCATAGAGTAGTAGTTGAGAATTAAAACACTGGTCATTGAGTTGCTGCCTACTGGAGTACTACATCTAGTTTACACAAAAAAATAACACTGTGACAAGAAACAGCTGATCTCTGCAGGTGTCAATGTGCCATCACCATCTCAACAAATGCACAAAAAACAATTAACATAAATTTGATCGGTTCATCCATTGCATGGATGAAGCTTCTTGGCATCCAGAGTCGCAAAAGTTAGAATAACACCTAAGTGAAATTAAGACGAAATTTTAAAAATCAAGATCAAGAAATCAACAACATGGAGGATCGATGACACATGCGATCGATGTGGCATTGGCACTAGTTTCGATTTTCTGCTTTTTAAGAGTTTGGTAATTTGCATTATGGCTTGATCTTCATGGCTAGCTTAGAAGTTGTGGCTCCACGTCTCGTTCACCGGCGGCAGCCGGCCGAGGTACTGCCTGCTGCCGGTGGTGAAGTCGGTGGCGCAGCAGGCGGCGGTGGTGGCGGCGGCGAAGTTGCAACCCTGGCAGGCGGCGGCGGTGGTGGACAGATCAGCCGGCAGCTCATCAAGCTCGAGCTCGTCGACCTCGCCGGCGTCGTGATCGACGCCGAGGAAGTCCCTAGTGAGCCGGCGCCGTCCGACGTCGCCGGCGTGCATGGTCACGGAGCCTTCCGAGGTAAGCCCGAAGCTGACACTGTCACCACCTGCAGCCACCATGACATCGCCGGCGATCGAGCTATTGTCGTCGTTGCAGCTGCTGCCGGTGATGACGCCGCCGCCGCCGCCGAATGCGAGGTGATCGAAGTAGGCCGGCGGCGAGGAGGGTGGCTGCTGGAACTGAGGAAGAAGCAGCTGGTGGTGAGCTGCTTGGTGTTGTTGCAGGAACAGGAGCTGATTAGGGTTAGGGTTTTCAGCAGGAGTGGTGGAGAATGGCAGGAACAGTGGTGGTGAGCTGCTGCTGCTGGTGATCAGAAGATTATTGCTATTGCTAATGCTGTTAATGTTGTTGTTGTTGTTGTTGCTGCTGATGTTGCTGTTGTTGCAGGTGGTAGTAGTGATGCTGCTGCTGTTGTTTGCAGCAGCAAGAAGCCTTGCACTCTCTTCAGCTAGGGCATCGCAGAAGGCCCTGTGTGTCAGCAGGCTGTCCTTCCTGCAGGCATGAACAATTAATTGGAATTATTGTATTTTTGTCAACTGTTAATTTAATTAAGGACGACTGTGGATTGATCAGATGAAAGAGTTTTTTAGTGATTATTTATGTTTGATTTCCCAAATTTTGTAGGGTAACAGTAGTGATGATGTGCACATGATCAGTGATGAACGCATGCATGCATGTAAAGTTGCATTTAACTTTGGTGAAGAAAGGTCTCCTTGCCGTATGATTAGCTTAGTTTCTTTTCCAAGGTTTGTGCGCGTGTGTGATCATTGGATGTTCAGGTTCATGGATTTACATGCTAGTTAGAGCTACAAGCAGGGTAAATGTTAGAGATTTTTAGTGTCTGTTTAATTAATTAACTTCTTGAGATCAATATTTTTGGTAGTGTTGCATAGATAATTAATTACATGTGTAAACTTAGTGTACATAATTATTGTGTATCTTGGGGTCCCCCAGCTGCTAGCTATAGCTAACTATAAGCCAATATATATCTATATCTGCTCCTTGAAACTGCCTCCTTAAATTTCAATTGCTAATGCAGGAACTGTGGCAAGAAAAGGGAGCAAGAAAGCGATCCTACTGCAGCAGCAAATTATCTATAAATGAAGTGTTTCCATCAATGCCTCCTGCAAATGCAGATATGATGATGAAGATGGCTTTGAAATTCTGATGGAGATCTCATGGCCACATGCATGCCCAACCATTGAAAAAGGCCCCGGACTAGCTAGCTAGCTGCATGCAGGATTTGCAGGTTTTCAAAAACATATTTGAAATATAAAACTTTCGAGTATGATTATATATATATGTGTGTGTGTGTGTGTGTGTGTGTGTGTGTGTGTGTGACGTACATGATAAGCACCATGTATGCATTAGAGATTAATAACAAGCACATATTGAAACCTTCAAAAAGCCCGTTTGCAAATGCAGAATTTTCAGATGAAATTCACATAAAACACCAGATCCAGTGAGAGTATATGCTTAACTTCGGACTAAAAGTTCAGAAAGCCTGGGCTAGCTAGGAAACAAGAGCAAGAACAGGAAGAAGAACACTAGCTTCGAAATTGGAAGATATATATCAAGGTATTATACTGCCAAAATACTCAAAACCTCTCGAAGTAGTGATGAATTAACAGTTGGTAGTTGATCAGTGTCCATCCATGTTTTTTTTTTCAGAGATGTTCTTTTTTAATGCAATAGCATATGCAAAGAAGTTTAATTAAGAGCTACTCGCTCTCCTCTAATATAAGAGATTTTGATATTTTATTTGTAGTTTTGACCACTCGTCTTATTAAAAAAAATTTGTGCAAATATAAAAAACGAGAAGTTGTGTTTAAAGATTTTGAATAATAAAGTAAGTCACAAATAAAATAAATAATAATTCCAAAAAAATTTAAATAAGACGAATAGTTAAATAGTGCAAGTAAAATGTCAAAATCCGTTGTATTAGAGCATGGAGGGAGTAGTAATAAATAGTAATCAAAGGTGTGTGTTTAACGGCGAGCGTGGGGGTGGCCGGACCTGGAGAAGAGGATGCCGCAGTCGCAGCGGTACTCGCGGGTGCCGCAGTTCTTGACGTGCGCCTTCCAGTCGGAGTGCACGGCGTACCTCTTCCCGCACCGCTCGCACCGCCACCGCTTCTCCCCGTGCTTCCGCGAGAAGTGCTTCTTGATCCCGGTCAGGTCGCCCAGCGCCCGAGCCGGGTCGTGGTGCACGCACGTCGGCTCCGGGCACACGTACACCCTCTTCCTCGGCGCCGGCGCCGCTGTCGTCACGGCGGAGACAGCGGCGGCGCGGTGGCGGAGCTTCCAGGGGAGGTTGTGGCCGCGGCGGTGGAGCTGCAGGTTCTGGTCGCGCTGGAACCCCTTGTTGCAGACCTCGCAGACGAAGCGGTTCGTCGCCACCAGCGCCCGCGGCGACAGCGCGATCACCTCCGCCTCCGGGTCTGATCGATCCAACACCATGGCGAGACAGCAGAATTGAGATGAGATCGATCAAGCAAGAAGAAGAAGAAGAAGAGCTAGGCAGTTTCTCGCTCACCTGGGTTGCCGGGGAGGCTCCTCTTCTTCTTGGCTCTCGGCTCCTGCGCCGCCGCCATCGCCGCCGGCCGCACCATCACCGGAGCAGCAGGCAGCAGCATCGTCGCCGCCGCCGCCGCCGCCGGTGGCAGAAACAAATTGCTGAGCACGACATGGGCGGCGCCATGGCTACCCACCACCATACGATCTCCTCCTCCTCCTCCATGGGAGTTGGACCCAGTGGCCTCCTGATCAGACGAGAGATCAGACAGCAACATGGCTAGCTAAAACTCTACGTGTGGTCTCGAGGCTACAGTGGGTGGATGAGAAGAAGTGGGAGGAGAAGGGTGGGAGGCAAGATCAGATCGCGGGAAAAGGCGTCAGGGCGCCTCGCCTTCTGCAGGTTGCAGTTGCTGCAGCTGCAGCTTGCAGATGAGCCAGAATAAGAAGGCGAGGCGAGGTGAGATGAGCTGAGCTGAGCTCGATCGATGATGCAATCATATCGCGCTCGCTCGATCTGGGCCAGGAAGAAAGCTAGCTACGCCATGCAGCCGTGCCCTCTTCTTCTTTCTTTCTTTTTTTCTTCTCTCTCTCTCTCCCTCCCCTTTAGTTTCATCTCGCCTTTTAATTCTCTCTCACTTGCAGCACATCACGCATGCATATCGATGGATCAGGCATTGATCAGTTCCATCATACTTATTAGCTTACTGCTGCTTAGTAATAAATATGACTGTGATTGTGTGCATACTTGTTACTCCATCCATCTTATTTTAAGTGTAGTTGTACGGTTTTTATGTAGACCGTTTGACTGTCCGTCTTACTTGAAAAACTTATAAAAAAATAAATCACGCATAAAGTATTATTCATGTTTTATCATCTAATAACAATAAAAATATTAATTATAAAAAATTTCAGATAAGACGGAGGATCAAACATTGGATAAAAAATCCACAATTATACTTAAAATAGGACGGAGGGAGTAGTGTTTTTTTTTCTTTCGTTACAATTTGTAAAAGGAGGATTTGATGTTGCATGTTTGTAGAGTAATATATATTTCATATTAATCTATCTTGTCATTTTTTTAAGAATAAATAATAACTATAAGCAATATGTAAGAAACGAGAGGGGACATCTTCTCTGAGAAAAAAATTATATTTCCCAAATTTTCACTGTGCTTATGGGAAATTAGGCCTTGATCATCACTTAGCTGGATTGGATATATACATGTAAAAAAAACATGTGGTGACAACTGGCAGGACACTGCAATATGTACTCCATGCATGACTGACTGCAGCATCAACTTTGGTTTATGTTTCCTTGTCATATTCACAATGAGTAATGTTATCTAGAGTGCTAGCTAGATGTCACTCATTAGTTATACCAGCTTGTCTCATATTTAGAGGATTAGAGCAAGTAAAAAATATATATCTGCAGTGCTAGCTAGCTAGTTGCATTTTTGTCAGACTGCTAAAAGAGAGTTGCTAATTAATGTGATATGCTCAGTTAGTGCCGGTCTGTTGTTTTGGCCGGCTAGTTAATTAGCTTAAGCATTGCCCAATATACTCGAGCTAATTTCATCCCTAAACTTCTCTCAACATATGTGTTCTGTAGGCACTGGTTTTCTCGCTTTCCTTTCTGATCTTATCTTCAAAGGTGAGAAAAGTGAGATATATGCATATGCTATGTAAAGATAAAAGAAATTAACTAAGATCATTATGATCTGAATATATGGTTTTCTTTCTTTTTTAACTTTGCGCTTTTGGAATGAACTGGTTGGTGCAGAATTCTATCTATAAGTATAAATGGAATTCAACCATATTCAAAGCTAGCAGTGTGCATGCTATTTCTACTCACCCCTTCTGCTAATCTCATCAGAAGCTTTAATTGGGTTGCACCTGCACTATTTCACTGAATTCACTGAAGGCCAAGGGAAGGAATTATAGCAATGACTAGAAAGAAAAGTAGAGAAAAAAAGATGCAGAGAGCATGCACACATAAGGGATCCCCCCTCTACAAAGAAAGCAAAAGTAACAGTACACCCACTCATTGACCCTCCTCTTCTTTTAATCTTGATCTTTTCCTCCACTGGCTCCTCTGATGTTTATCAGCAAAAAAAAAAAAAGAAATTCTCAGAGTTTTACATACACCTTGTGATTGATGTTTAAAGACTACTTTCCGTTAACTTGCAGGTAGTAGGAGCATATTTTGTTTAGAAAGCCTGTGAAGGACTTAAAAAGTCAGATCAGACATTCCATCCATTCTTTGTCTCTACTACTTCTTTGCTGTCCTTCCTTTCTTCTCTGCAGGCTTGATCTCTGATCAACACTTAATTAAGGGTTTCTTTCTCCATCTTTCTGATGCTCTTTTGGTTGCAATTTTTTTATTGGTTTTTGTGATCTTAATTCCTTGCTTGCTGCTTTGATCTTTTCCTTCTTTTGTGTGTATCTCCTTTTCTTATTCCATCCTTTGCTTTTCCGGCCCAATGGCTGGCTAAAGTGCAGGGAAGAGAGTGTTAGCTCTAGCCCCACTGATGAGAATTTTTTTTTGGTCCCTTGCCCCTTAATTCCCTTTGGCTTTGTGGGCTCTTCTTGAGCTGGTTGGTTGGGTTTGGATCTCATTCAGTTTGTTCTACTAAGCACTGTCTATTTTTGTTCAACCTTTTTTTTCTAATGTGTTCTCTGTGTTGTTGAAAGCTACTAACCTTGCAAAGTGTTAAGTGTGCAGATGTTTATCCATCCATCCACCACCATAGGTAACAGTTGTATCTGATGCCTTTTCCCTGTTTCAACAATTGACTGCTCTCTGTTCCAACAATTGACTAGTTCAGCTCCATTCATTTCATTGTATCTGTCAGGTTCATCCATCTGTTGTACTTCAATTGGGTGCCAGATAAAGTAAAAGGCAAAACAAACCTGCTAATCTTAAGCATGTTACTTATGCCCTCATTAATTAGTATACAAGATCAGTGTGTGTTTTCCCTTGTATAAACAGACAAGGCTCCATGACCCTTGCCTGTCTGAATGTATCAGTGAGATTATGCAGTGGCTCATTCCTGCTAAACATTTGCTTTCCCAAACTAGTCACATGGATTCAAAGAGTTCAGCAACACTAAACACTTGAACAAATCCATCCACTAAATAACTTGAAGTCTTGAACCATTCAGTTGCGCAGATAGTGACATGCTTCCAAATACCAAGAAAGCAACTTGTGGCATCACAGAAGGCTACAAAAGCATTGGTCCTAATCAACAACATCCTTCGGCAAGCAAGAAATCACCAACATTCTGTGTGTAAATGGATCGAATGCTGCCGAAACTGCAGGATTTGTGACAGATACAGGAGCTCACAAGAGCTTTCAGCCAATTAACAGGTTCAATCTTCAGTAACCACTAACCAGAAGCATCAAACTTCTCAAGACTCAACAACAGGTAAGAACTAAGAACTAAGCAAAATTCCATCTTTATTTGAACAGCATAGATGTTCAAGGATACATCATGGATGACCACATGGAGACCTAAACTAGATGGGATAGCAGGGACCATACTTAGACACTGAGGCAACATAGAGCCAGATGCCAATAACAGGCCAAGGACCCATACAAATGCACTGGCATAGCCTACAAGAACTTCACCCAACTGGTTCTACAAGCAGTAAACTGCTTCCACAGAGAGCTACTGATACCAGCTAATGGTCACTGGATTATATACATCAGCTGTCTACTTCCATAGTCATTGAGTTCTTTAGGATCCTTTGCTAATCAGGTTGGAGGCAGCCACCATATTACAGATCATGGAGCTCTGTCAGGGCAAACCTGCATGAAAGAATCCCAACATTGCTAATTTGCTATAATTTGATTTTATCTGAATTGCTGTGGCATGATAAAATGGCAATTAAGAAAGTATTACTTACAGACTGTTTATACAGCTTCTAGACAGTGGCGTCCATAGTCTGGGAAACACCATGAACACCTTCCGTAGTTGGTCATATTTCCACTAGTCAATTGGATCTGTTTAACAAGCAACAGAGCAATTCAGAAGCAAGTAGCAGGGCTGAAATGGAGAAACATATATTCGAAAAAATGGAATGAAAAATCGGCATTATCAATATTCAGCCCCGATGGCAAAGATCCAATCACTACTCTAATCCACATTCCTGCAGATTTTTTTTAGATAATGGATTAAACCGGCCTCTACATCCAAACGGATGTACACAGCCAACATTCCTGCAGATATAAGCGAGATAATGTAATTTAAACAAAATATCAATATATGAGCAGTTTTATCAGATTTGCACCGTTGAATGTGAAATATACCAGTTTGTTCAAGATGATCTTCAAAAGCACTGAAGCAGCAGTAGTTGTTGGATGAACAATCACAAAATCAACTCTATTTTGGACTAGTAGAGCTCAGATACCCCAACTGTTGAGCCAGTTCGTCGATGCCGTCAATTTTGCCATCCAACTCTGACTGCTCCTCCTTGCCTGTGAAATCTTCAACCAACAGCTCTGCCCAGAAGTCATCTCCGAGCTCTGCCTGACCATTAGTTTGATTCTGCCTCTCTTCATCTACTTTACCCTTCCCCAGATCCTGAATGTTCACTGCGAGATTCTCCAGCTCAGGGATTCCAGGTTCACTTAACTCATTAAGCACACCTGAATCAAACAAATACGGCGAATCAAGTTGCTCAGTCTGACTTGTTTCCCCAGGGTCATAGAATGGAACATTGTCTATAGGCCGCCTTCTTTTCTTCGAGATGGCATCCTCAAGCTCCTTCCTCTTCTCTTTCTGCTGTGCCAACTGCTGGAAGAACTCTGGGTTGCGCATTGCTCTTGCCAAGAACCCCATCATCTGGACCTGTTTCTGCTCAGCGGCTCGTAGCCTATCTTCCATGGCTTTCACATGATCTTTAGTGGCCTGCTGCTCCTGCCTTAGCTTTACTACCTCTGTGATCAAGATGTTCTTATCACGCTTCAGCCTGTCAATTTCTTCCTCGAATCCAAACTCACCAACTTCCAGACAAGATGTGAGGGACTGTTGTTGTGACGGAGGTGCATTGGACGGGGGCTTCCTTCTCTTTATCGTTTTCAGGAGATGCCTTTGGCCCCTGAGAAAACCCTCATTTGCAAACTCCCACCTATCAGGATCGACCTTTCTGAAGCCCTGTAGATTTTAATGAGACAAACATCACCATTGTAAGGCCAGATGCACATGCCAACGTGAAAGATTAGGATAACTGCTCTAGATTTTAGACTGTAGCTTTTTAGTGAAAGAATGACCATCAGTATATTATATCATTTGAAGGTGATCAGTTGAGTCTTCTAGAACAAAAACAATCTGGTTCTTGTACTTCATCCAGTATCTTGTTCCATCTAGCAACAATAAGAAGTTTGAGAAATCATGTCAGGATGATACACTTGCGCGGGAGAATTAATCTCCCAGAATCCCCTAACCTCAACGTGAGATGAAGCTCATTGGAGCATGCATTGTTTTAAGAATATAAGCATGCTAAAGGTGCCATTTATACATGCATCACACAAATTCAATATTTCAGAAGTAGGATTGAAGATTGCAAAACTTGGTTGATGAGTATCAAAAAATCAGGATGGACATTATCAAATTTTATTTTATAGGCTGTCCTGAAAACTAAATCTGCCAAAGACCTAAGTCAGTTAGCCTGTGGCAGCGAAGTGATTTTAAACACTAAACAGTACTTCCTCCGTTTCAGATTATATGACTTTCTAGCATTGCCCACATTCATATAGATGTTAATGAATGTGACGATATAACATATATATGAATGTGGGCAATGCTAGAAAGTCTTATAATATGAAACGGAGGTAGTAGCAAATAAAGCCCTAGTCTGCTCTGAAACTGCTCTTCCACAAACTCTGTAGTAAGAAGTTTCTGTAACATTTCAATACATTTATTTATGTATACCAAGCTCAGTGCAACTATCACCTAACAACTAAATAGTTGATACCACTGCTTCCCGACGCTTCAATTTGGTTCTCTATTTCACTTTTCACACAACATTTTCTTAATGTTAACTTTTCGGGCTGGTTTGGTTCGAGGCCTAAATTAGGCTTACCAATATTTGGTAATTTAATAGTGTTTACTATCTATTTGGTTTGAAGCCATATTTTGGCATGCCTAAGAAAATAGGCCATTTCAATAGTGAACTTAGGCTATTTTGGCTTCAATCCAAACACAACTTTGCTTTACCAAAATTAGTCATGACAAAACTAGCCAAATTTTGGCACTGACAAAATTTGGTAAGGCCTATTTAGGCCACAAACCAAACCAACCCTTCACAATCTAATTCATGGTTCTTTGAAATGTTCTTTTACACTACTAAGCACAAATGCTTTAGTAGCATTCCAAGTTGGATCAACACATATATACCTAGTAGCAAATATACTTGTACCGTTATGGCAAAAGAAAAAAAAACTAGCACCTAAACATGACTACAAAGAGGATCAAACACTAGAAGACTCTGCTTCAACATCTCTCAAGACAAGCAAAGCTTTTGCAGAGTGTGCAGAGAATGTCACAAATCACAATGACGCAAATCCTAAACAGTGTAAACAACTATCAGAAATCTGTAATTTACAATCATCAGAATGCGCATACCATTGCCACACAAATCACAATGACACTAAACGGTAAGCACTACTTCAGTAAACAACAACTACAGTGCTACCCAAGATTACTTACGAATCTACATCATCAGACAGGTATTTTTTTCCGGTTCAGGAGGAATAAAATTAAAAGAACAGCTAGTACTATCTCCACAAGGAAAGGGATTAGGATTAGGATTAGGGGTGCTCACGTAGGTGTTGAGCTGCCGGACGAAGCTGGAGAAGTTGTTGTGCTTGAAGAGGCGCGGGAGGAGGAGGTCGGCGAAGACGTGCGGGTCCCAGACGACGAAGCTGTTGCCCGCGCGGCTCCACGACACGACGCCGTCGGTGGCCGGGTCCTCCACCAGGTCGTACGTCTTCGTCAGGAACGGCGGCGGCCCAACCTCGTGCAGCCCCTCCATCGGCCGCGGCGCCGCCCCGCCATCCTCCTGCCGCTGCTGCTGCTGCGACTCCAGCATCTCCTCCTTCACAATGCCCGCCGCCGCCGGGTCCATGACCCCCCCTCCCGCCTTTCACAACCAAGAACCCAAATTAACCCCAGCAACTTTGATCAAGAACTCGAATCGGAGTATCAGGCGACGAATTGGAACCAAGAACACACGCGATCGCTGCTGCTACAGGTGGTGGAATTTCGGGGATATTTTGGGATATTTTTTTCTTCTTCTGCTTTCCCTTTCGAGGTCAAACAAAAAAAAAATGGTGGGGATGAAACGAAGCGAGAAATTCTTCGTGTGCGGGGGGAAGAAGAGCGAGGGCGGAGGGTGGTCGGAGAGATAAAAATACCCTCGCCGTACGTCGAGAGGCGTCGGGAGAGGTGTGGAAGGTTCTAGACGCCGCGTAGGGTAGCGTCGCCACTGGCCGCGGAGAAGCTTCTGGAGAGTGGAGAGAGGGGGGGAGGGGGGTTGGGTGGGACAGATGGGGGCAGGTGGATGGGCCGGGTGGTGGACAGGTGGCCCAATTTGAGGGTGACAACTCATCATCGAGGTCGGCCCAGTTTGGCAGCTTTTGGGTCACGCTGCTGGTTGAAAGCCCAGTTGTACACAGCACGTGTGTAGTCTACTGGTAGTAGTGTACTACTACTCCGTATACAGTGTTGTAAAATTTACTCTCTCCGTTAAAAGACATTTCTGTATTTGAATATGACATAACTCGTATACAGTGGAGGAAAATAACCAAAAAAATAGCACTTTATGGATTTGCGTGTGTTTTTTTAAGAACCCAAAAGTGTGTTTTTTATGGAGGAAGTACTTTTTTTTTAATTTGGTCTGAATGCAAAGAAAGATATTTCTTTAAAAAAACACGGTATAAAATCATATGCTTACATCGAACGTACACTCACCCTATGAACTGACATATGCACAATAAAGTTAGCGTGTATTTGGTTTGGACACGAAGTGGGATGTGTTAGACCTATCCTATTTTGTGGGATAGGATGGTTACAGTTGTCTATTTAGTTTATGGTATACGATGGTTATGGTTTTTTTGTTTGGTAGAAGGGATTGAGATGGGATGGGATGGACAGGACAAATTTGTACTGACCGTTAGTGCCGTCTGGCTTCTAGCGGCAGGGATGCAGCGAACGGTGAGCGTGGGGGCGGAGGAGCTCGGCGGCGCAAGCGAAGGAGAGGTGGCGGCGGGCGCGGACGGGCGGAGGCGAGGCCGCTCCCGGATCTAAGAGTAGTGGCGGCGGACCGGCGGTCGCGGACGAGGCATCGGTCACGGAGGTGGCGGAGGGCGCGGTGACGCCGTTTGCTCGTCCCAAGTAGGACGAGTTCGTCCGCGAGATTTGCCCGGATCGGTTAGTCCCAGATCTGAGAGGAATATTTCTTTCCTGCGACCAACCCATCCCACTCACCCTAAAACAAACATCTCTAAAAGTGGGTTCGCCCCATTCCATCCAATCCTTACAACCAAACACGTGAGCATACTGTAGAGACACTTGTCACCTGTGCATTGGGCCTTAAGTACTACACTGGAATTGACTCGGTGTAATCTTCTTTGGCGTTTACTAAATGCCTTGCCAACTTGTGTGAAATCTGTGGGCATTTCCTTTTAATTATTTGAGGAAACTTTTTGCTCACATTGTAGGCCTATTTGATTAAAACAGTGTTAGATTCATAACTAAGAATAGCTACATTTTAAAATGGATGTGGTAGCTTTATAGCTGCGATATACAGAAGATACATGATAAAGGCAGTGAAAATGATTTTAGAGTTGTCAAAAAGACGACTTAAAAAATAAAAAGTAACAGAAAATCCACTTAATTAATCATAAATTAATTTAAAAATTCAAATTATGTTGCTTATATATTTTATTTTATTTTGGCCAGGAGACTCTTATTGGTCAGAAGTATACTAATGGCCCTGTCGTTTCGCTTATTTGTGCCCATCGTTTCGCTTATTTCACAAATAAGCGAAACGACATATTTGCATACAAAAAGTAATTTGTGAATAAAACTTTTATATGCGTGTTCTTAACAATCTAAAAACAAAGGCTGAAAAATAAACTTAGGTGAAAAAACCCAAAATCAGCTCTAAATTTAAGGTTGAAAATTGAAATTTTGGCTGATAAGCATAAGCGAAAAGATAAGGCCAGAAACAATAACGGAGTAAACCACGAAAGAAGCAGGCAAGCAGCAGACAGACCATGGTCCAATGACACTGCATATTTGAGAAATTTTGTTCATTTTCAGCTTCATGACTCTTACTTTCTGTTTATTGAAAACACATTTCGGAAATGCTATATGCCGATTGATACATAAGAATTAACAAAAATCATTAAATCTTTCACTTCAAGTTGGTGAGTGGCGACCATAGCCACTGTGCTAAATTTACATTGCTATAGCACATCTTATTCAGGTTGAATATAGAACCGCAGTGCAGGAGCCCAACAAAACCCTCAGAAGCCTTCAACTGCTTGATTTTCACCTTCTGACTTGAGAAGTTTAGCCAAAAACTCCTTTCTGAAAGAATACAGCAAGGCTCCGTAGAGGAACAAGAAAAGGAGGGAAACAAAAATTGATGGTAGGCAGCAATGAGAATGACGTCGAAATCCTGGGCTTACCTTGCAGGAAGATGGTCATGGGGACGGTTGTAGGGTGTCCAAACAGGATCGCCAACAAACAGTCGCATTGCCTGTAAAAGAATATGTCCAATGAACTAATAAGTTGTTTATTATTCATAAGAGTCAATGCAAGAGTTCAGATTTCAAAAAACAAAAAATGGATTATATGTATGTATTTGATTGGAATAACTCAACAAAGCAATTTTTTCCTTCAGTAGATCAGTTACCAAACCCTCACAAAATTTCATCTCAGTTGATGATGAATTTGCTCATTGGGTATGTACTTGGTTAGGCAGTACCAGACACATGATGCAATTACCCATTTGGAACAACGTCGTCACATTTTTTTTTAATTAATGACAAATGATGTGTGCAATGGGATGATCAGACAAAGCTGACAAGGTAGAGGAGTACCTTGATATAGTTGTCGGTGTCCAACGTAAAGCGGTGGTACATCCCTGCAGGCAGAACAATCATGCCTCCTTTCTTCAGTGCTATACGAATCCACTGATCATTTTGGTCTCTCACATCAAAGTATCCTTAACAACATAGAACAAAATACAGGATTATATTGAGAAGGATGACCTCGGTTTCAATGGCTGCATAACATGCACTTAATTACATAAAATGAACACGATAAGATACGAACCACTCCCTTCAAGACAATAGCGTATTTCTTCATCGGTATGCAGGTGTTCTTCAAAGAAACTCTTGATCTTAGTTTCATAATTTGGCAGCTTCTCTGGGCACACATCACAAATGTCCTGACCAGGGCAAAGCAGTCACTAAAGAGTTCTCATATTTGAATTTACAGTCACTGAACAGTACTATGTTGGAACATAACACAGTATGTTGCAAATGCAGGTCTGAGCTGAGGACAAACCACATAAGAGTAACCTCTGGCTTCGCGGATTCTCTTCAGGTTCTCGCAATTCTCCCAGTTATCAGGATTTAGGCGCCAGCTGATTACTCCTAGTTCTAGATATTAAAGAAACACACATGTTTTACTAGCTTGTATGAACAACAACAACAACAATAACAAGAGCTTCAATGCACAAAGGCAATGTGCTGATCTACATATGTGCAAACCTGTAAGCTTATCAACATGAATGAATTCTTTGGGTTCGCGGTGATGAGGAAGCCTCTGGTCCTCTTCGCTATCATCCATGTACCATGCTTCTATCACCTCCGTCTTACCATCCTTTTTTTTTGGGGGGAAAAAGAACAGTACAACAATCAACAAGATTACCAGAACTTAAACACCGCACACCACAAATGATGTACTTACAATAAATTGTCTGCAAAATGAGGACACATAAAACGTTTCCTAACTGAACTTAACCCCCAATCAGCATTCATGAGCATGAAAACACACAGATTTCATATTGTCAGGTTACACAGTAGGTATCCATATTCCATATGAGTATCAGATTTTCTCTAGGCACTGTGCCAATTTTTTAAGAAGAAAATGTGACTGCTGATTTAGTCTCTGCTTTACAACAGAAACCGAAATAAAACGGTTCCAAGAATAACTGGGATTTAGCCAAACAAATCATCCTTGTCGTTTCCAAGAATTACAATCTCCCTGAAGATCCTTTCTATAATAAATCCGTACCTAATACACGAAAAAGCCCTCTCATTTCTCACTTCACCCTCAAGAATCTCTCTACTGCCAGAGAACTCAAACCAACCCCAACCCTAAACCCCCAAAAGAGAAACATTGCACAGGAAACAAGCAGAATCCTGTACTCTGCTGCTGTACTGCTCGCTCCCAGAGAAAGAAGATAACAGTGGAGAAAAGAAAAACAAAAATCCGCGGAAAGAAAACCGTGGGAAAGATCGATCGTGTACCTGGAATTCGTTCTCCATGTGGATTGCGGGGTGGAAGCAAGAGCGAACCTTCGATTATGGCGATGGATTCTGTTTTTTGTTCGTCTCTCGCTGCTGCTCTCTCTTTTCTTCCTCGGGAAGAGCGAAGGATCGATTTCTATACGCTCGGTGTAGGGATTTTTTGCTCGCAGGACCCCGAGGAATGCTGAAATTTCGTTGGAATTTCTCGAGCGAGTACAAAGTCAAAATCTTTTTTTTTAACTACCTCAGTTTCCATTACTGGTACTTATAGGCCTATCATAAATCAAACGTATCTCCATCTTTTATCATCAAACTTTAGAAATAATTGTATATATTGTGAGGGGTACTTCTCATATTGAATCTAACAATATAAATTTTATGATACTAAACAATACTGTATAAGTTTATAGATGTTGATGGTCATATATCAAAATGTTTGATTGATTTTAGTATCTAACCCTTAAAACACCAAATAATCTGAAACGGAGTGTGAAAGTGTATCGGATTCTCAATTTTATAATGAACTAGTAGTAATTTCTAGAAATTCCTCATATGGAGCCCGCAAAAGTCAAAAGTGGTTTCAAACATGGGATAGGAAAATAATTTCCTACCCACCAAATGGCATATTTAAATCCTAACCATTCATTCTTCCGCTTCCATTTAATCCTAACCCTTCATTCATTTCTCAATCCCAATCCCATCCCCATTTTTCATTATTCAAACACACCCTAAATCTTAAAAGATCTAAAAACCTCTTTGGGTACAAAATTCTTACAGCAGTATCCCTCACATGTTAAGATATTCAATATTCTGTTTGACTACCCCAAATTTTGGGACCTGTTTGCACTTGTGATTTTTTTTCTATTTGATAGGCTATTTGCACTTGTTACATGTGCTGCTTTTCTCGGTCCCACTGGGCAGTGGACCCACTAGAAAACTTTCCGATGCGTTGAACCTGGACAGTCATGCATGCCGGCGCTGAGCATATGACTACTTCAAAGGGTTCAAGTTCATGGAATCCAGTGTCAAGTAAACTACTGCCGCACACAGATAGCAATCCCTGGATATGTGTTGTAACCAAGAAAGAATAAGAAAATGGATTGAGAAATGAAACATTTACTTTTCATTTTCATTTTCATTTTTAAGGAGTGGCAGCCAGATAATAATTAGTAGTGTGCACTAGTGCATGCTCATTTTATCGCAAAAGATATGCATATAAAACAGAAAGAGAAAAAAAATGGATTGAGAAACGAAACACATGACACTTTTTTCGTAGAGAGTATTATAACATATTTTATTATACTAGATATTGTTAATTTAGCCAGTTCACAATGGAGATGAACACAACCGTAGAGAAGAGGAGAAATAGAAAGTGGCTTGCAATATGGTAGAGTCGAAACTGCCTTAAGCATAAAAACAGTGGTTCACGCATGTAGAAAACATTAGTCCTTGCACTAGAGACAGTAAAAAAACCACTTGTGGCATATCATATACTACCTTCATTCCAGAATATAAGAAGTTTTAGAGTTGAACATGGTTATTAAAAAGTAGGTAGAATTAAATATGAAGATATTGTGATTGGTTGAGAAGTGGAAGTAATTAAATATGAAGATATTGTGATTGGTTGAGAAGTGGAAGTAAGTAGGAAAAATGAATGGTGGAGGGTTGTGATTGGTTGGAAAGCGAATGCTGGTGGAGAAGCTATTATATTTTGGGACAAATCCTAAATGCTAAAAGTTGTTATATTTTAGGACGGATGGAGTAAATTGACTAGCCATCACGCAGACTTAGACTGCACTGTCACCGAAGTTAACACTAAGTTGTTTCGTAATAAAGTAGTCAACTCATGTTAGGCTCCCATCAAGTATTTCCAAGAACTCTACCACCCCATTTCCTCACCGCTCACTCCATCTCATAGGCTGCTCTGCATCAAGGCCACTGGATACGAAAGGAGGTGGATAGAGGAGTGTTGCATCTGCTAAAAGATATGGGAGGAAAGGGTGAGAGCACCGATCGATGAAAGGAGATAAGAAGGTTATATTGTGGCAAAGCAATGCGTGAGTGGCAGAGACAAGCAATGATGACAACCAACATGTGTGATGTGGATTTGGAATTGGAAAAGAGAGGTCGAGATGGGCGGGGAAGTGATATTTGCATAAATGGCACGCAAGCAACTGGCGACAACGGAATTGGTGGAGAAAAAGCACAAGTGGTTAAGAGGCAGAGTCGTCTCCGATAGCAGGGAGCCACCGGGGTAGGAAAGTCGACAGGACAGGGGCACCTCATGTTACGAGGGAAGGTTGGGCTTCGTTGGCGCCGACAAGGGCGGCAAGTGTCTCGTTGTTGCAGTGGAGGCAAATGAGGCGGGGAAAGAAATTTAGTGTGGTTACCGCAAGAGTTAGGTAGGAGAAAGAATAAACTATCATGATCAAGGGCGTTGGCATGAATTTTAAGACGATCCAATGGTCCATAATTCATAAAATGTTGAAATTTGTTTCAACAAATATATACTAGACAGCAGGAGTTTAAGGTCCAACTTATTTTCCTCTGGCGTGGATCACTGACATATGGGCCCTCTATCCAACGGGTCCACCAACGAACCCACCAATTATAGCAAAACTAGATTGCTTCCTTCTTTTTACGTATGTGTTTTGAAAACATCGATATTATCTCCCATGCACGTGTTGGTTATCTACTTTTCGTGACTAAAAATATATACATTTATAAAAAATAGATTATTAAATATAAAATTAAATGAAAGCACATTTGTCATGACAACTCTATTAAAGAGCACCTTAAACTTCATGCAAATAGCGCCCCTCTGCCCTCCCAGTCCCAAGTCCCAATCCATGATTGGTGAAAATGAAATGAACACGATCAGTCGCAACAGGTTAGATAGAATAGTGCGTTTCCAAATGGAATACAGAGCAATATTTTCATTAGGGTATCCAACCGACTTGTTATAGACAATTTTTGGTGTAGTACATTGCACAAGAGTACAGGACCAGTCACTGTGTATACTGCAATGTTTCAAGTAGTACTAAAATTTTTGTAGGATAGCCGGATAGTAGTACTACATATGATAGTTTTCAAGTGTACTGCATATGTGTTTTCATGATTCATGATAAAAACAGCATGGGTTCATGATTTCATGAGTAGTGTGATGTATAGGACAGTTGTATAGTGAGCCCCCAATTCAGCAAACTCAATGTGCGGCAAGAGCAAATCCGGTGTCCCCCTTCACATTCTTGACATACTCTTGCCTCACAGGATGGTCTTCCTGTGGCCGGTTGTATGCGGTCCAGACTGGTTCTCCAATGAAGAGCCTCATGAGCTGCAAATGTAAAAGGATCAGAATGTATCGGCCAGGGTTCAGATAAATATTTTGCTTAAACTCTAAAACAAGAGATATCATACTTTTTTTCTCAAACTATAGTGTTATCAAATCTGTACCAGCTGAACCATGTTTTATGTTTTAATGCCAGTTATGTAGTTCAGTAGTTTTGTTAAATTTAGAGATATAGCTTTTGAGATATCTGCATGTTCAGCATTGAGTGAACAATACATTCTCTACACACATAGCTAGATCGGTGTTATCATATTTGCGTAGGGGCCATAACAGTTAGTTTTACTTCTTTCTTCCCTTGGTCCATGAGGATTACATGACTAGAATAAGAGAGGCTAATTACCAAGTGTGTTGACAACAAAGTTATGGGACGTGGAACATTTCAAAGTTTTCTGTAGTTCTACAAAATGTCATAAATCTTAAACCTCAAATTATGCTACCTTTGTCCCAGTTCTGAAATTGATCGTGCAAGTCAGATAGTCAGTTGTGTGAGTTGTGTGTAGCTGTGATTCAGTGACACAAAAAAGATTATTAGTGGCTCCTACCTTGATATAGTTGTTGCTGTCGACGATGAACCGATGATAAATCCCAGCTGGCAGGATGATCATGTCTCCCTCTTTTATCCAAATCCGAATCCATTTGTCATCCTTGTCACGGACATCAAAGTAACCGCTACCCTCCAAGCAGTACCGGATCTCTTCATCAGCATGAATGTGCTCACAATAGAAGCTCTTCAGCTTCTCCTCATAATTTTCCAATTTATCAGGGCATATCTCAGTAAGATCCTAAGAAAAAGCAATACAGCACATATTAATTGGTGCACAGCAGAGGGATGGACAAAAGGAAATTGCAGCTCTTGAGGGGTTAGTTCCATACAAAGTAGCTGTATCCTCTTTCTCTGCGGATTTTTGTGAGCTCTTCTTCGCTTTCAGACTTCTTAGGATCCAAGTGCCAATACAACACACCGATCTCTGCAAAAATAGGGTCAGTAAGTTGCACAGTAGAACAGGTCTAGCACAAAAACAGGCCAGATTCTCGAACAATTTGGTCAACTGCTTTACTAAGTTATATCGCTACAGGCTCAAGAAGTTAAGAACAATGGTTAGTTCATACTATCTGACTATTTACATTGATGGGGTATGTTAAACAACTTGCAGACAGCGTTAGGTAGGATCAAATCCCCTAGCTAACTGAAGTTGGTTGTAGATAAGCTGTAATGTATCTCCTCCTTTGTCTGCCATCCTGTTTGTATTTTCCCAGATTGTAAACAGTTGTTCAGTTTTTGACAGGCTATTGCAGCACGCATTCAGACTTCAGAGGAATCTCTTGTTGACAATAGCAGTACATAATTTGCTAAAGACAATTAATCTTTGAGAAACAGGTTAGAATTTGACCACACAAACTAAATTCACCACAGTTGCTCAGATCCAAATCTCAAGGTAGCATTGTATGGTTTGCCCAGTTGAATCATGTGCCTCTCTTCAACCAGTTGCATATAAGAGCATAGCAACAATCAGCAGGTGAAACTCACAATATACCTCTCATCCCATCCCAAAAAGGGGGCATTTGGTCAGAAAATCATCTCTGACTAAATTTCTTCACCAGGAAGAGGTCTCAAGAACCCAGGAAATCAACAAGTAGATGATGATTTCTAGTGCCTCCACGAATCATCCTTTTCTTTCCCGAATAAAAAGAAAGAATAACGGGAGATACGGGATTACTGTCATCACCTTCAAGTCTGGAGAGTGGCAGCAACTCGTTGGGATTCTCGAAGCTCTTCTCCTCTCCGTTCTCCCCCAGCATCCATACCTAATCCAAGAACCAACACCATAACCACCCACCACATCAGCACGCCGCAAAATCACCAAGATTTGCAAGAACCAAAAAAAAAAATCGATCTTGCTCTTGCACCCACCAGATGAGCCATGGCTAGTGGGAACAGAACGAGATGGGGACGGGGAAATCCGAGAGCTTTTCCGTTTTGGTTTCTGCTTGCCCGGACGTGTATGGAGTATATATCGATGAGGAGGATGGATTACTGGTTGGTTCCAGAAACCAAAGATTGTCCTGCTCGAATTCGTCGTGTTCTTGTGAGCGGATTGTGGCGGAGATTGGTGATGGGAAGAGAGCCACAGGGAGGTTGCGGAGTTGATTTGGAGTCGGGTGAGTGGAGAGCAACAGATTGCAGATCCCTGGAACACTGAAGAACCGTGCAAGGCCAGATAGGCTAGGAATTTTATGGTATTCTATTAATCGTCCAAAATTGACTGAGATTTTGGGCGTTGCCAAATACTCGTTACGTACTGAAATATAAGATTTTGGTATGTAATACGAATCGCAAAATCTAAATCGAGATCACTCTCGTTTTTACCTTATCGCGTGACGCTGTACGGCAGTACGGGGCCGTCCAATAGATGGCGATCCACATTAGGGGTGGAAACGAGCCGAGCCAAGTGAAAGCTTGGTGCAAGGGAAGCTCGGCTTGGCTTGGCTCGCTACAAACAACGAGCTAAAACTGCAGCTTGGCTCGGCTCGTTTATGGGCTCGAGCTGGCTCGCGGGCCTGGCATCAAGTAAATCTCAAGCAGGTCTAAGAGAAATGGAGCAACATTTTACTACATAGAATGTATAATAAAGTGATATTTTTCTTTAATACGTCATCACAACACATAAATAGATAATATGGTAATCAAAATTATCATTTTCAACAAATAAATTGTTTGAAAAGGTGTAAAACTTTTGCATATGACACTATTGTACTGAGCCAAGCGAGCTCACGAGCGGCTCGTGAGCCGGCTCGGGCTTGGCTCGTTTCGGAAACGAGCTAGGAAGGAGGCTTAGGCTTGGCTTGTTTGGCTTTCGAGCCGAGCCGAGCTATGCGAGCCCGAGCCAAGCCTGAGCCGAGCTCACGAGCCCAAGCTTTTTGTCCACCCCTAATCCACGTGATCGATAGCGTGCCCGTCCGATTATGATGCTCTACACTACGCTCGTCCACGTGATTCATGTGATGTTCTACACTACGCCACCTTCAAAAAAAATTTTCTCTTAAACTAATCATCCGATCTACGATTCGATTACGCCGTTGTGTTCGTAAGAATTGAATCTTTATAACAAGATCTCACATTATTATATTTTGATGAAAAATTATAAATTACTTTTATAATATATCTAAATTATTTTTAGATTTCACTAAATTACTTCTTTGACCCATAAAAGTAAATTCAATAAAGCGTAAGAGTAATTTACATATATTATAGAAGAAACTTAAAACAAAAAGAAAGTAACTTTATCACGACATTAAAAGTAAATCCGTTATGAAGGTAAAAACATGAGTCTATATAGAAATTAAATTTAATCAGCATAAATTACATCATTGACTAAAAATGATTATAAAATAAACAACTCACAACATTATGAATGTATAGATTTCTTCTAATGCAGTAACAAGCTACTATAATTTTGTTTTAAGTTACATCTATAATGTAGGTAAATTACTTTTAGGCTTTATTAAATTACTTTTATGACTAATAAGTAATTTAATGAAATCTAAAAGTAATTTAGATATATTATAAAAGTAAATTGTATTTTTTCATAAAAATATAGTCACGTGAGATCTTGTTATAAAGATTTAATTGTTATGAACACAATGGTGTAATCAGACTGTAAATCGGATGAGTAATCTAAGAGAAAATTCCATAAGAAGAAAAAAATACATGCACTTTTGAGTATGTAGTAATTAGATATGAGATTGAGGTAGCTGGTTATGACCATATAGAGAACGGTCTCGTTATAGACATGTCCAATACGAATATGATGCAAACTCGTAGTAATAAGATATATTCCACATTCAATCAAAATCATTTTTATTTTAAGACGGAGGGAATAAACAAGCTCGTGTAAGAGTGTGGGGGCGGCTAACCCATTGATTAGTGAGGTGTACTCCCTCCATCTCAAAATAAGCTAATCTCGTACTAAGATATGATACATCCTATTACAACAAATCTAGATATTATCCCTCTATACCAAAAGCTTGACCAAGTACAGCTGAAATCAAGGTTTCTCGTACATAGGAAGTACTCTCTCCGGGTTGATAATACTTGTCGTTTTAGACAAAGGTGAAGTCAAATATTAGAATATTTAATTATGAATTATTTTTAAAATATTTGTCTTTCAAATATGGTGACTACATATATAGATTAATCTTAAAAACTACTTCAATAAAATCATATATTTGTTAACACTTTTATACATATTATAATTGAAAAATAATGCCTATTTTTTTCGACCATGCCCTTATCCAAAACGATAAGTATTATCAACTCGGAGGGAGTACAATGGTACTGGAGCAAGTTAGAACAATTTTGAAAAAGTAAAAACTCTGATCAATTTCATCCAGTTTTTCACGATTTACAACAGTTATCATGTCATATATCATGGCTTACCACCAATGGGATAATTTAACTCCGGTCGAGGACTAAGGCTATCTCCGTGCATATGTTTTTCAAACTATTAAACGATATGTTTTTATAAAAAAAATTATACGAAAGTTGTTATAAAAAAATCAAATTAACCCATTTTTGAAAAAAATTAGCTAATACTTAATTAATCATGTGCTAATGGATCGCTCCGTTTTCCGTGCGTACTATTCCTTTTAGGAAAAGGGGTGTCGAAAACAGCCTAAATAACTCGTGGAATTTCAAAACCATTCAAGACATGCTTGGAAGAGTTTCAGGTTCTTACTTCTTAGAAGCAACATGTGGGAATTCAGCTGTCACTTTCTGGTTTCTAGTTGATTTTCTTTATTCTATAATTATAACTTCTCATAATCTGGATGAGAAGCTAATCTAACCAGAACTCTTCTAAATATACCCTTAATCTTATTAAGATGATTGTCTTCTTTCAAACAGGAAACATAATGACTGTCTTTTCAGCGTTGCTGCATGCCAATCATAAAAATAAATGTAAAATAATTAGCTATAGCTTAATATTTGATACAAATTTATAACGCAAATCCTCCGCGTCGGGCGCCCGATGGGGGAGAAAAAAATCGAGCGCCCCCCGGCCCCGCCACGCCACGCCTCCGTGCACCCCACTACGTGCGTCCGTTGCAACAGCCGTCCGGATATAACAGAAACGTCCTATTAAGGAGGATCCATTTTTTTTCCACCAACGATATTTTAGCTAGTGTACTCTGTGATATTTCACTATATATATAGATCAAATGTTATAGTGGATTTTTTATATTGTTTAATAATTTCTTCTTGATGTACACGTGGTTTGTTGATGTACACGGAGTTTAAGTGTTGCAATTGCTTTAAATCATTTTTTTTGCATATGTTGAACCAAATTGTTTCATTGAGCGATCTGACCGTGTTTCACTTTTTTTAAAAAATTGAAACATTCTTTCGCTATTTGCTGAAACATTATTTTTATATATGGTGAAACAACGTCTGATTTTTTTGGAAACCGTTGTTTCATATATTGTAGCAAAATGTTTCATTATATGATTTGGTTGTGTTTTAGATTTGTAAAAGATTAAAACATTTTTGATCTATTTAGTGAAACATTTTCGATCTACATGGTGAAACATTGTCCAATTTTTGAAAAAAAATAGGACACCCAATTTGTAGGCGCCTCCAATTTATAACCCACACATATGATAGATCGAAGAAAAAATAGGTGATAATGTAGTTGTATGAAGCTGTATAAAGATAATACTCGAAACTACTTTAATACTCCATCCATCTCAAAATGTTTGACGCCGTTGACTTTTTAAAAAATGTTTGACCGTTCGTCTTATTAAAAATTTTAAGTATCATTTGATTTATTGCTAAATATACTTTTATGTATACATATAGTTTTACACATTTCACAAAAGATTTTGAATAAGACGAACGGTCAAATATGGTTAAAAAAGTCAACGGCGTGAAACATTTAGGCAATGAGGGAGTACTATATAATTTTGTGTAACTTAAACCATCGTACATATAGTCTGTGAAATTTACTCTTTCTAGTAGTGATTTTAGTAAAACCTGCTCAAAGTTTCTAAAATATCCCTAAGTTCAAACGAAGACCTTTTCCAATTTTAATAAGAGTGGTTAGCTATCGCCTCGTCGCGGAACTCCACGGCGGACAGCACCACCGGCGCCGTCTCCGGCCGCGCCCTGACGCAGTCCAGGAGCTCCGGCTCCCCTTCCACCCACCTCTTCACGAACGCGACCATGGCGCCGCCGAAGAACCGCCGCATGGGCGCCCTGGCGCCGCCGCTCCTGCACACGGCGCGCGTCGCGAGGCCCCTGGCCCCGGGCGTCACGTCGTCCATCATGTCGGTGTGGCCGTAGTCCCTCGCCACCAGGTGGCACGCCGGCGCCGCGCACTCGCCGTAGAACTCGCCGTGGCTCACCCCGGGCGGCGCGCACGCCGGGAGCAGCGGCGCCGCCCGGGCGAGGCCGCCGAGGCCCGTGCCGATGACCATCACCGGCGCCGGCACGCGCAGGGAGTTGGCGCCGCCGTAGGTGAGGATCGGCGGCGGCGTCTGCTTCCCGGCGGCGAAGCCGTCCACGGGGTCGACGGCGACGAGGGCGGCGATGGTGGCGCCGCCGGCGCCGCCCCGGAGGGAGACGTTGGCGTGGCCCAGCGCCAGCGCGAACGCCACCTTGCCGCCGCGGCTGTGGCCGGAGATGGAGATCTTGGTCGCGTCGGCGCGGACGTTGGGTGGCAGCTTCGAGGTGAGGCCGCCGGCGGCGAGCCAGTTGATGACGGCCGCCGCCGAGTTGATCTCGTCGGTGGTATCCGGTCCAGACATCGTATATAGCTGCAGTTTTTACACACCATTTTAGCATCAAAAATTGATAGATAAAATCAGTTCATAACTCAAAAATAGCTGTAGTTTTACACACCATTTTAGCATCAAAATTGTTAGATAAAATCAGTTCACAACCCAAAAATAGCTGTAGTTTTTACACACCATTTTAGCATTCAAATTGTCAGATAAAATCAGTCCAAAAATTCTTCACACGAGAAGTAGTAAATTAAGATGGATTGATTTACCTGGGGGCCAACGACGACGAAGCCATGGGAGGCGACATGCTCGAACAGCTGCGAGTAGAAGGAATTATAGGCGAGGTATCCATGCAAGAACACCACCACCGGGTACACCCCGGCGTCGCACGGCGCCGCCACCAGCAGCGGCTTCGGCGGCGCTCCACCGGCCGGAGCAGTATCATCATCCGTCTTCTTCGCCGCCGCCGCCGACGAGCACTTCCTGGGCGCCTCGTCGACCTTGACAAGGGTGACGCCATGGCTCCCATGGTCGAACACGCCGCTGAAAGAAGAATCACCCGCCATGGTTGTCTGCAACTGGAGCAGCAACAGCAGCAGCAGGAGGAGGCAGAACGCCAAGATTTGCGCCGCAAATGCGATCATGTTCATAACCAAGAATGGATATCTTGCAGCTTAATTAGTTTTTTTTTTTTTTTTGGGGGGGGGGGGGGGGGGCGTTCGTGTGGCTGCTTGATGGCCGTGTGTGTGTGTTCAGAGAGTGTCGTAGCTTTCTTATCTTCAGAAAGTTCAGAGTTTCGCTGATTATTTTTCTTCGTAGTGAAGTGTCTGGACTCTGGACGCGATTACATATGTCCCAGTTGCTTGCTGGGAAGTTCACCGGAGAAAGTCTACTTTTTTTTGGTCCACATTTTTTGTCCACGGATTATTTCTTGCATGCTTCTAAAAAAATATTCTCCTATTGCATCATTTAGACCAGTTGTTCTGAGTTAGTCGTGAAGTTTATTTATCAAAATATCAATTTACCATGTTAATCAAGCCTCCCATCGGATGGCTTAATCAGCCAAAAAAAAGCCAAATTTTCAAATTTAATTTTGAGATTGATTTTGAGATATTTTCAACGTAGTTTCTTTTTCAGCATTGGCTTTTAAGTCACAAAAAACACATACATAAAAGTTTTACCTATAAATTTATTTTTATTCCCTAATAAATCGTTTTTGTTTATTAGGGAAAAAGCCAAACGATGGGGCCTCAAGTACATAGTCTGCCTACGTAGAGATGTACTCCCTCCGTACTCGTAAAGGAAGTCATGGGAATATAAATCATGAATAACCCTTAATTTGTTGAGTTTGAAAATGTAAAAATTATATGAATAGATTTGTCTTAAAAAATGCTTTCATAAAAGTATACATATATCACTTTTCAATGAATATTTTTATAGAAATAAGAAGTCAAAGTTGTGTTTTGTAGACCGTGTCGATGTCCTAAACGACTTACTTTATGAGTATGGAGGGAGGACTTGATAGTATATTGATAAGGGGTGTATTATTTCAACTTTGAAGTCTCATATTCAATTCTCAACAAACTTCATAATTTCTAAGACGTTTTTCCCTCTAAATTTCCTTTTTTTTCCTATGTACTACTTCCGTTTTTTAATAGATGACGCCGTTGACTTTTTCTCACATGTTTGACCATTCGTCTTATTCAAAAAATTTACGTAATTATAATTTATTTTGCTACGAGTTGTTTTATCACTCATAGTACCTAAAGTGTGATTTATATCTTATACATTTGCATAATTTTTTTAAATAAGACGAATAGTTAAACATGTGAGAAAAAGTCAACGGCGTCATCTATTAAAAAACGGAGGGAGTAATTTGCAAAAAAAAAAAAAACTGTTTCAAACGCAGCAGTTACATTTTTTTTTTCTTTCACTCAGGTATGTATCATTTTCTTTAGTAGTTAACATAGATGAAGGGTATCATGTATTACTCCAGTAGTGCGCGAGGTTAACTTTGAGCTACACATAGACCAACAAGAAAATCTTGCTATTTGTAGTGTGATATCGTGAACGCTTGATTTTTTTTTCTCTTTCTGCATTTCTATTAAAACACTTTAATATAGTGATGTGTATGAAACGAGACCATGTACACTTAAGTTTGTAAAAAATCTTTATATGCTCTTTGTCTTATCTGTGATTGCACAGTGGCAGAGTAGGACCTTCAATTTGTACCCATCTTTGGGAGAAATTTTGCAACAAGTAAGTCTCGTGTTCACAACTCCAGATCGCTTTCCTATCAGCATTTGTAGTTTAGTTCGCTTTCATGCAAGAGGAGATTAAGGGGAATCCCATCATTTTTGGGCAAAATTAATTGAATTGGCTTTCTATACACTAGAGACGATTTTTTTTAGATAATACTAGAGACGATAATCTCACCTGTTTATCCATGGATGCAGGAGTAGTAATTAAGCCTGATGGAGTTCAACATATTAACCATGGGTACATTCATGACCTGTATTAAGCTTTTGGGTTAAGTGAAATCATTTGTGTTTCTCTAAGCTTTTGAGTAAAGTAGTGCATGTAACTCGACAAAAAGAAGTCTAAATGAAAACCTAATATAACGTGGTTTAAACGAGTTTAAACAAGAAAAATACATATTCAGCATGGCTCCAGGAAATTCAGATTCAGATCGAAACACTCTGCAGTTTCACAAGGTTTGCATACAAAATCTACAAAGATGATCAAGGAGGAACAATGAGTTTGATTGCAGTGTTCACGTAATTAATTTCTTCTAATATTGACGTGCAGTCTTTTTGTGTGTTTGCGAAAAAAAATTCTTCGCATACAATTTCTTATCTGTAGAATTTCAAAAAAAAAAAAATTATCTGTAGAAATACAGGCATCGATCGACTGTGGATGCAACTTAATTTGCCGGATGCAAATATATGTATATTAAGTATATATGCAGTTATATATGAACACACTACGTGTTATGTGGATCCATCCCGGCCTGGGCGGCCGGCCGTGTCTCATTCTGAAATCATATGATGTGAGCCATGGCGACTGAGAGCAGTAGCAGCAGCTGCACAAGGCTATCAGACGGAACAGATCCTGCAGAGAGAGAGAGAGAGAGACATCACGACAGTAAATCGCAGTAAGGATGTCAGTGTTCGGTTGCAAGATCCTGCTACAAAAATTTCTTATGGATGCAATGGATTTATGAAGAGATCGAAGAGATGGAATACGAGGTTTAGGAACTAATTGAGGCCTGGTTTAGAGCAGAGAGGATTCTTTGTTTCTTTCAAAAACGAACTGAGGATTCTTTTTTTTTTCTCACAGCGAAGTAAACAAACTATAGCTTAGTTAACATTTATTTACAGTTAAATTTGATATTTGTGAAGTGATCTATCACATAATACTTATATCTTATTATTTTTTTAAAAAAAATCATAACTATTTAAATAAGATGTAAACAATGAGCGAACATCTTTTCGATAATTTAAAATAGTTTCACGTGAAAAATCGTGTAATCGTGTAACCTAGTGAAGTAGTAGAAGTAGCAACAGTAGATGCATTGCCTTTTGGGCATGAGGGATGCCCGGATGAGTCGTGGCTATCATTACCAGGTGTCGCCGGAGACGACGACGACGGAGACGGCGGCGGTGGCGGCGGAGGGCTCCCCGGCGGCGAGAGCCCCTGCGCGGAGCAATCCTTGCCGAAAGCACCTATCACGGACATCATCATCATCAGCAGCAAAAGATTCAGGCATGGCAGAGAAACCGAAGATTGATCAGTTGGCTAATTAGCTTACAGTTCTTGATGCAGGGGAACATGGTGAGGTTGAACATGTTGACGAATCCCGGCGAGCACGCACAGTGGTAGCTCAATCCTTCCTCCTTCACGCACTCGCCTCCCGAACCACAGTTGATGGCCACGCAAGCTGCAACAATTTTTTTTTTAATAAATTCGTGCATCCATGATCACCATGGTTAAGTTTGTGTATACAGAGAAAACTTGAGACTGAATCTGTCGTGAATGAATGAACTTATGATCGATCAATGGGATGTGGATTTTTGCAAGCCGGTAAAAAAAAACAAATTAAACTGAAAATAGTTAACGTACATTTGTAGCTATATTTGTTATTTTTGTTACAACTTATAAAAGTTAAATTTTTTGCATATTTATGGAGTGATATATCTTATACTCCCTCCATATTTTTTTTGTTTGACATTGGTTAGCTCAAAATTGAACTAATCAACGTCATATATTTATGCAAGGAGGTAGTATTAATTTACTCCCTCCGTCCCATAAAAAATCAACCTAGTATCGGATGTGACATACTCTAATACTATGAATTTAGACATATCTAGATTTGTAGTATTAAAATATGTCACATCCGATTCTAGATTCATTTTTTATAGGATGGAGAGAGTATGTTGTTAATGTTTTTTAATAAAATTGATAAAATGGCTTGCACCAAACGAGGGGAATAAAATCACTCTCCCCGATCAATGAGCTAGTTTAGCTTACGTACGGTCAGTGAGCGGGAAGCCCCTGGGGAAGTTGAAGGTGATGTTGAAGCACGCGTTGTCGAAGGTGCCTGCGTGCAAGATTATTCACAAATCAAATTAATTAAGCTTCTGATTGATTCATCCATTAGCAAAGTAATTAGATTGCACGATGATGCTAGCTACTCGATCCAGCTGTAATTAAGTACATTTTGGGATGGTGCACGGCGAGGCCGGGAGGAACGCGAACATGTTGGACCAGCCGGCGTCGCAGTCGCAGCGGAAGGTGTCGAGGCCGAGCGGGCCCGGCTGCTCCACGCACTGGCCCCTGCCGCAGTGCGCCGTGTCGCACGCCGGACCTTCGCCGGCGCCGGCGGCGACAGTAGCAGTGACCACCGCAATGAGCGCCGCCGCGGCCACGAGCAGCAGCGGCGGCGGCATTGTTGTCGCCGCCATGGATGGATCGAGACGAGGCTTTGATATATCGTTGCGAGCAATGTATAAGAGTAGGGGGGGGGGGGGGGGGATTCGGAGGCGGCGGCGGCGACGCGCGTCTGCTTCTGCCGCCGGCGTCTTAGGTTTCATCGTCACCATGAACTGGTTTTTTGGTAGTCTCTCGTTTAATTTTGGATGTGTTCAGAACGTTCTGTTTTGGACGCGACGCGATGTACGTGGGACTTGGTCCGATTCAATTAGGAGAAAAAAGGGGGATTCAATTACGTACGGAGCAAGTGATTTTGTTCCCTTCCTAATCCTATTATCATCACCACAGACCGCTCAGGGAAGAGGCATGCAGAAACAAGCCTAGAGCAGCTTGGGATTTCTAGGCTTTGCCTTCATAATCATGTTTAATTGTGCTTAATTTACCATGTAATTTTTATAGAAAACTAATATTCCTATAGTTGAGCACGGAAGTATGTTGTCTAATATTTTATAGAATTTTCGTGATATTTGCTAGTTGGTGTGCACGAGAAGCTTATATACATATAAATTGGAGAATATCCCTTCTATACCCCTGAGATTTACTCATTCCCTTCCATACTTCTAAATTTCAGTTTGGATCCCTTCGATATACCCCTCCCGTCAGTTGACTGTTAAATTCATACCATAAAGTCCATTTTGCCCTTTGCTATCAAGAATATGTAAATTTACGAAGTATATTGATGGAGTGTATAAATTTATTGTATGCGACTATTATATGTATGAGTTTATTTTGTGAGATATTATTTAACAAAAGTAATATTTTAGTTTCACCTCGCGAAGGGAAAAATAATTTTTATCTATGAAAAAAATATTTTATATAAAGCAAAAAAAATTACCCTTAAAAATTGTATATATAGCATATTTTGTTATAATAGTACGAAATTTTTTTATAAGATAAATCTTTTTATGTGAGATAAGAAAATTATTTTTGTTAAATAATATCTCACTAAATAAACTCATACATATAATATTCGCATGTAGTTGACCATTAAATTCATATCGTAAAGTCCATTTTACCCTTTGGTATCAAGAAAATGTAAATTTATGAAGTATAATGATGGAGCGTGTAAATTTATTGTATGTGAATATTATATTTATGAGTTTATTTAGTGAGATATTATTTAACAAAACTAATTTTTTATCTCACATAAAAAGATTTGTCTTATAAAAAAATTTCGTACTACTATAACAAAATATGCTATATATACAGTTTTTAATAATAAAAAATATTATTTTTTTGTTTTATCTAAAATATTTTTTTCATAGATAAAAAATATTTGTTCCCTTCGCGAGGTGAAACTAAAATATTACTTTTATTAAATAATATCTCACAAAATAAACTCATACATATAATATACGCATACAATAAATTTATATACTTCATCAATATAATTCATAAATTTACATTTTCTTGATACCAAAGGGCAAAATAGACTTTATGATAGAAATTTAATTGTCAACTAACGGTTAACTGACGGGAGGGGTATAGAAGGGATCCAAACTGAAATTTAGGGGTATAGAAGGGAATGAGCAAATCTCAGGGGCATATAAGGGATTGGGTGATCTTTCAGGGGTACAAAGGGAATTTTCTCTATAAATTGTTCCCAAAGACCTTGAGCTTTGATAATTTATGGCTTTGCCAACATGATTGCTACGCATGACATTGGCTCAAAGTTAACTCTTATCATTTCTTAAAGGGAATTTTGTGAGATGCACTTGAGGTCTCGTGTTCAATCCTAACACGATCACACTTTCTTCTTAAAAAAATGTTTGGAGAGACATCTCTATCCCAAAAATTAAAGGAAAATATTTTAAGAAACATAGTATAAACACTAGCACACATATCGCGCGCGCATTCACCCCTACCCTTATGAACACCTAGATATTGACAAAGTCATTACCAGTGAAAAAATAATTAACTATAAATACAAGCAGCTATGTTAAGTATATGACTTGAACCCGAATGAGCTGGTTTCACCACATGGAACCCAACCATTTAAATTACGCTCACTTCGATAAAAGGAATATTTTGATACATTAATATTTAAGAGGTTTTGTTGTATCTACTATTGTAAGAGGCTAACCTCTGAGTAATACCTGATTTGTCATCACTTTTTATACTCCCCATTCCGAAATATAAGGCACATCTATTTTTTTAGATGTTTCATAATACAAAGTTTGCATGCAGTGGACGCAATTAACTAGCATGCACTTGCTCTCCACTAAATTATTATTATTTAAATCCTTCACCTTTAAAATCTTTAATTGTATTAGGTATGTACATTGTATTTATTAGGATGATTCAAATAATGAGGTGATAATAAGTGTTTTCTGGTCTTTGAGGTAAGAGTGGTTGTGCGTTTTATTTTCGAATGGAGGGAGTATATATTTTCAGTTTCTTTTTTTCTTTGTTTCTCTTCAGGGTTCTTCTGTTTTGATCTTTCGTATAGAGACTATATAGAGATGTGGACGATCGATGTTTGATGGAGAAATGGGCACTTTTTTTTTTTTGCTTTTCAAGTTAGGATTTTCGTTTCAACGTTTATCTTTTTTTCATTCAATTTTTATCACCAGTAGAGAGAGCTGACAATTAAAAAAAAGCAATATGAGAAGGAAATACTCCTATTCTCATATCCCACCATGTTGGAAAACTCTGGACATTGTGTTCACCTTTTTACGCTATAGAAGCTCTGGTATGATCCATTCCGACGCTACACTATATTTTGAGGCCTATGCAGTATTTTCATTAAAAATAATCAGATGAAATATACGAATACTCCCACCGTTCTTAAATAGGTCATGTTGTTAATTTTTTTGACATGATGTTTAACGATTCATTTTATTAAAAGAAAATAGGTCATGTTGTTAAATAGGCCTATGCAGTATTAGTTATATTGTTATGACTTGTTTTGTTATTAAAGTATCGTAAACCTAACCTTTTTTCATAACGCACCACTTTTTCAATAATAAAAATGATAAAACGTTATATTCAAAAGTTAACGGTGTCACTATTTTCTTTAAAGAACAGAGGGAGTATGTGCTATGGATTTAATGCATGCGTCTGACTTGTCGGTGAGGAGCTGAAGTGCTGAATCTAGCGAAAACGTGATAGTTGCATTGCCTTTTGGGCTAGAGTGAGAGGGATGCATGGTTGCTCCAGAGCTTTTATATAACAGGAAAAATCTTGGTATTTGTAAGAAGCTAGAGCCAAATTATTATTGGCAAAATTTACTACAAGACACTTAAATTTTATGGCTTTTGCTATGAGACATATAAAGAACATGTATCTTCTCGTGGACACTGTAAAAATTTGATACTTAGCTGCTGGACACCGAACCTATTATTATATTATATTTGGTGCAAATGAAGAGAGAGAAACCATGAAAAGTACGAATGTGACCCTGGTCACTGTTCTTCTTCCTGCTCTAGTACGATACCGAGTAGTGAAGGGGATGGGTTTGGGGACCGGCGCTCCGGAAAAACGGTGACATCAGCGGTGGCAATAAAAGAGACAGTGGGCGCGAGAGAGGGTGCCAATAGCGGAGAGGCCGGCGAGCAGAAGAAGAAGTCCCCCTCACCCCTCCTACGATGGCTGCTGCTTGGTGCAACTACAGGCGATCACGAAAGAGGAGCACGATGACAACTAGGACGCCCCTTCCCCATGCGCCTGCGGTACTTGGCGACGAAGCCGGCAAGCGGGTGCGGGATCCGACGACGCGAAAGAAGATGAGTGGAGGGCGTTGTGACAGAGGAGGTGAGGACAGGGTTGCCAGCTCCCTTCGCTCCCTCAACCATTGCCGCTCGTCGCCGCAATCCCCTCCGCCCCCATCGCCGCCCAAGGAAGAATAGGAGGAGAGAAAGAGAGGATATGTGAGATTGACAAGTAAGCCCATGGGCAAACTTGTCTTTAATCAATATTTCTTTCTCACTTTCCACCGAAAATAATAAAATAATATGGCGGGTGTCTAGCAGCTAATTACCATATTTTTACAGTGTTCATGGGAAGATACACGTTTTTTGAGTGTCTCACAGCAAAGATCATAAAATTTGAGTGTTCTGTAGTACATTTTACCATTATTATATAGTTCGTAGGATATATCCATCTCTCCATCCCAAAGTTTTACAGAATGCCAACATAATTCGGATGATAAGACAATTATTAAGAGCAAATCGTATTGCTAAATCACCATCAATGATTGGCAAAGAGTTGTATAGATAACAACATGTGTACTACTTCCTCTGTTTCATAATATAAGTCTTTCTAGCATTGCTCATATTCATATAGATGTTAATAAATCTATGTGTGTCTAGATTCATTAGCATCTATATGAACATGGGTAATACTAGAAAGTTTTATATTATGAAATGGAGAGAGTACATCATTTATTTCTCTTCTTGACACTTTTGCAACAGGAGCTATAATTGAAACCAATTTGTTTCCCGTAAAGTACCTGCATATAAGATTTAATTTATTAACATTAGAGTTATCGAAAACCATTTCATTACGACTTAACCATATAACCCATCACATTGTAGATGTCCTAACTAACAATTGTTTTTAAACTTAAAGTGATTCCAAATGAGACGACGGAGATAGGTTTCTCGATGGAAGATTCTCTATCTATAGACAATGAGTGCTAAAGTCAAAACATCTTATGATCTGAAACAGTGGGAGTATTAACTATTTAATTTTCACAAAGGTACATTACCTCCTTTTAGGCTTAATTTTGGGACTATCATTTTGAGACCGAAATGCAGAGAGGCAATTAAAATCCAACAATATAGACCGATCTACCCGTTAACCATGAGTTTTAAAACTTTTACTAAAGTCGAACGAGCTGAACTACAGCCGCCTACAGGAGTGACCCGAAAAAGTTATAAGCCCAACCCAGCCAGCTTTCTTTACCAGGATATGAATGGAGTTCTCTTGAATATATTGTGGTTGATATGCTAGCGATTCTAATCAGCCGGGCAAAGAAAAAAGACAGACAAATAATAACAGAAGTGGTTCCACATTTAGTCGACGAATGAATTGTTTGTCTTGGCTAATGGCTATATCATTACCAGCCGGTGTCGGCGCCGGTGCCGGTGTGCTCGCCGGGGAGAGTCCCAGAGCGGCGCAGTCCTTGCCGAATGCACCTAAGTAATAACACCATCAGCAGCAGCAGCAGCAAGGTTCAGGCATCGAAAAGAAAAAAGAAAATTCAGTGCTTGCTTTCTTCGATCTGGCTAAGCTTACAATTCTTGATGCAGGGGAGCTCGGTGAGGTTGAGCATGTTGACGAATCCCGGCGAGCAGGCGCAGTGGTAGCTGAACCCTTCCTCCTTCACGCGCTGCCCTCCCGGCCCGCAGTTGACCGCAACGCAAGCTGCAATATAAAAAAAAATGTTTATGCAAAACACTGCTATGTAATGGCAGTAGAAGCAATCCAGATTGTTTGTTTTTTTTCTGATCCGATAAATCGTATTATTTATACTAACACATCAATTGCTGATAGTGGAATTTTTTTCTCGAGATTTGCTCTGGTCCAACAAAAAGTACCTCGAAATATCAGTACCTCACGGTACCTCCAACGATCGAAAACGATTTGGTACCGTGAGGTATTGATATTTCGAGGTACTTTTTGTTGGACCGGAGCGAATATCTTTTTTCTAACTGGCAGTGGAACTCATAAATCAATATTTGAGATAACAACAATAATACTTGTAGTAAAATACTATCGGCAGAAATGGTACAGAAAAACTGAAACAATCCGTCATATGATCATGGATCAGCTTACATACTGTCAGTGAGCGGGATGCCGCCCTTGGGCTGTTGGGCAGAGAGATGCTGGTGTTGAAGCACGCGCTGTCAACGGTGCCTGCGAGGCTTGTTAAATCCATCGCTCCTAAATTAAGCTTGATTAAACTTAATAAAGTTTGGATACTAAAAAAAAGTGAAATCTAGCATTATAACTTAATAAAGTTTTATTTCCACACAAGAAAACTTTATTAAGTTTTACAACATCTAAAACACCAGATTAATTTTATTAAATCTCGCATTAAATATAATTTAACAATATGTTTGTTTTTCCTATAAGTTTAAATAAACTTAAAACAAATTTATTAAAAAGAAAGTTAAAACAGCTTATAATAGTACTATGAAATTGAGGGAGTATATATATGAACTGCTGTGAAGTGAGAAGGCATATATATGGGTGTAGAGTTTGGGATGGTGCACGGCGAGGCCGGGATGAGCTTCAACATGTTGGACCAGCCGGCGTCGCAGTCGCAGCGGTAGGCGTCCAGCCCCAACGGCCCCGGCTCCTCCACGCAGTGCCCCTTGCCGCACCTCGCCGTCTCGCACGCCGGACCTGCACCTGCACGTTCACGATCATCATATATGTCTCTGCAGCGACATGTGTACTTACGCCGGCGTGCAAGTTCTTCGTCGTCGTTGCACTCACCGGCGGCGACGGTGGCGACCACACCGAGCAGCAGAAGAAGCAAGCAACCGCCGGCGGCGGCCATGGTTGGTTGGATGGATCGATCAGGGAAAGATGGGATGCGTGTAGGTGTTATTATGTACTACCCCGTTTCAGATTACAGTTATTTTTGATTTTGGTCAAAGTCTCACTGCTTCAAGTTGAACCAAATTTATAAAAAAATATAGTAATATATTTAACATAAGACAGATATATTATAAAAATATATTAAATCTATAATTTAATAAAACTAATTTGGTGTTGTAGATATTAGTATATTTATCTATAAATTTGGTTAAATTTATAGTAGTTTAACTTTAATCAAAATCAAAATGATCTATAATCTGAAACAATGATCTATAATCTGAGACAGAGGGAGCAAGTGGATTTGATCGGTTCAAACGAGGTTAGGGGTCTTGGGTTTCTTCACCTCAAACTGGTGATCTCCTTTGGATCTTTCAGAACCTTCTCTTTTGGACGCACTACAGGGAGAAATGGTCCAATTCAATTAGGTTCTCAAGTGATTTCAAACACATACCGCGAGAATTTGTCTGGTTACTGAAGAAATTAAACTGATTTTGTCAAAATTCTGTACGATCCCAACAGCATAATATAGGATGAGCAGTTAAAACTGAAAGTGTGGGCTCCTTCCGAATATAGGATGAGCAGTTAAAACTGAAAAAACACAATAGTACAATGCCATATGCCATTGAATTCCTACGGGCATTAAAAGCACAGTAATGTCTCAAAACTAAACACTATTGAGGAGTCAGGGCCCTCTTCCATGCAGCAGCATATTGCCCATTAGTCCAAACAACTACAGTTTTTTCTTTCTTTCAGAATTTAGACAAATCATGCTGTTCCAGCTTGCAGATCAAGGCCTTGTACACCAGTCAGTAGTCTTCGGTACCAGCATAATGTCACAGGTTACTCTTAGAATATACTCTACACTGTTTCTTGTTAACCCAACCAACAGGAATAGACTACATTTTGAACAGCTTCTTGTGAACTTTCAACACCAGCCGACACGTTAGCGAGACTCTCCTCGCAGTCCTACGGTAGACGCCACTTTGCTCAAGGCTGCAAGACTCATCTGTGTTCCCCTGCCCATCACCAGAATTTAGATGCTTGAATTCTGGGCACTGTAACATATTGGCGACCTGCCAATGAGACAAAAGTATTAGGTTTTCTATGTACGGGATTTGCTCAAATGTTTGTCAAATAAATGTACAAGTGATTTACAGAGTTTGAAACTGTGGCACCTTGTCTAGGTTTTGTAGCTCATTATCTTGTATTCCATGCAGGTAGTCTGCAAAACTCATCAAATATCAAAAATAAAAAAGTTTTCAAATGTGCCTAGATGAGCAGAAAAGAAATGTACTCATCTAACCTGTATAAGCCTGATCTTTGAATATCAGCAGGCTGCACGGCATCAGAAGAAGTGATGAAGAAGCAGGGTCAGTTTCATTTGCACCTTCAAGATTATGGGAACCATTGCTCTCTGTTGTAGTTGCCTGCGACTCTCCAGAGTGTGCATTTTGGGGATCTGTAAAGTCCTCCCCTTTAAGCCTTTGATGAGGGGTAAAGTCAATCACAACCGGTGAAGCAAGAGAAATTATAGCAACAACAGGGAAGTAGGCAGGACCATCTTGGTGTGGCTGAAATGTGCAATGTTACTTGTAGTTCAGTGTACGGCAAAAAATAATATGAAGCCAGGGGAAAAAACAATAAGGAGCTGGAAACTACAAACCATGATCCCTTGATTTGGATGATACTCATTAATTAAAACATGATTGATTGCTGAAGGAAATAAACCAGTCCATTGGCAGATTCGGTCGGTTATCTTTGTTAGCCATGAAGGTACTGCAGTATGAGATGCACATTCAGTTTAATTTCACTGATATATAGATTGATACTTCAATAATAAAATGTTGCATATTTCAAAAAGTAAAATGTGAGCATACTTGTAATCATCCAAGTATCACTGTTTTTCAAATAAGTATGGAATACCAGAAAATAATTGCAGTCCACAAAATAAGAAATATAGTCATTTAGGGAACCTTTTTGGACTAGCTTGAACTACTGCTTCAGTTTATGCATTTTTTAAAGATAAGCTAGGCCAAAGGTGAAGGTTTCTAAGGCCTTACATTTAAGCCTAAATCCTCATTGCACTAGAAGCCTCAAATAAGTTGGATCCAGTCAGAGGGGCTGTAAATTGAAGCCCTTAAGTAAGGTAATTTGGGAAATCTTGAGTTGTGCCAAACTAGCCAATAGATGTTCATGACATTGTTACTGTAAACTACTCTGCTGGCCAAGAAAGAGCTTGATGCTGTTTGAAACGGTTTTACACGGCAACCCCGGTGATTGTTAAGCTTTATTCTAGGAGTTAATTCTCAATCACCTAAGGAACTTCATTTGAGCAGATTACAGAGGGAGACCCAAATTTTAGTTCTGTTTATGCAGTGTTCAGACAAGAAACCTTGTGGCATCCAAGCCCTTAATATAGACAAGCTGTTAATGCTTACAGTTTGAACAAGAAGATCTTTTTAGATAATGAATCAAAAGGTCAATAACTTAAAAGGGGATCACTTTAAGTTATGCAATATCTTCTTGTCTAATCACATAAAACAAAACCACGAAATTCATATCACTTCAATCATGCAATATCCTGTCTAATCACACTAGATAAACCACAAAGTTGAGCTAAAATTTGCAAGCTTTGATTGCTATATACTCACATGCCTGCGGCAGGAGCCCCTTCTCATGCACCACTCCTCCTGCAGAAACCAACAAATCGAATTCAGTCAAAAACTCAAAACCTTGCCCATTGCAAAGCAAAAGGAAAGGGGAAAAAAAGGGGCTCTTCCAAGCGAGGGATCAGACTTCAGAGAAGAGAGTAACACGCACCCCAGTTCTGCAGCCTCCGGTTCTTGAGTGACTTCCACTTGGGCGCTGGCGCCTGGTAAATCTGCATCCCCCCGCGAGCACCAGACGCATCAAAACCACAAGATCACAGAGACACACACAAAAAATAAAAAGCAAGCAATCCGGGGAGGAATACATGGTGGAGAAGCTGGGACTGCTCGGCGTCGGAGATGAAGCCGGGGACGTAGAGGAGGGTCGGGATGGGGCCGACGGCGTAGTCCGCGAGGCTCCTCAGCGGCGGCGCCGCCGCCGCCGATGATTCTTGGGTCGTCTTGTCGTCCTCCATTGCTGCTGCTGCTGCTTGGAGAGTTTGGACTTTGGAGTCGAGGAGAGGAGACGAGAGAAGAGGAGGCAGGTTGCCGTGCTCGGATCGGATCCGTGGGCCGTGCGGTTATTACGTGGGCTGTTTAGCGTGGGCCTTCTCATTATACTTCTGTGGGCTGTATAGCGTGGGCCTTTTAATTAGGAATAAGTTCACTTTAAGTTTCTCATATTGGCGTCCAGTTTGGATTACGGCCATGTTTCTTTCAGCTTGGGATTATTATAATCCAGATTATTTGGAGTAAACTGAAAGAAACAGACAATTTATTGAAGTAGCTTATTATAATCCGGGGTTCAGCTTATTATAATCTGATAAGCTCATTTAGGTGAGCTTTTTCCAGATTATTGGGTGAAAAATTACCCACCATGCCACCCCACTCCCTCTTTAGACTTGCAAACCCAATAATCTAGGCTCTGATAATCTAGGAAAGAAACAACTAACCGCTTATTCTACTACAGATTATAACAATCTAGCTTATAGTAATCTGACTCAATAATCTAGATTATAATAATCCCAAGCTGAAAGAAACAGGGCCTACGTACTTGAAAACCACAATACCAGATATTTTATTTCCTTGTTGACTTTCAGTGCCGCGCCACTCAAAACCGGTCTCAATACTATCTCAAGACCTTGTGTATTTTGGTTTTGTAAGTTAATGGATAGTACGTTATATCTGGTATTACGGTTTAAGAATGTGATCTAAACTTGACGACAAGATGAGGGGACTCAAAGTGAACTTATTCCTTTTCATTACATTTCTATGGGCTTTGTGCCGCTGGCAGCCAGCCCGCTCTCCCCATCGGCATGTCGCCACCTGTTCGCCACTGAGTTATTTCACATATAAAACATTTATGTGTTTTTAGCAACTTGTAAAGATAATGTTGAAAAAGAAATCATGTTGAAAGTACCGTAAAATCAACTTCGAAACAAAGTATTAAAATTTAAGTTTTGGCAGTGGCCGATTTGTTGTAGAGCAAACTGTAAGTGTCCCGTTTTGTTTTAGAGCGGGCAAAAATATTTTTCTTTGCACAAATATCTCTTTTTCCCCCTTGGACATTTTCCCTATTTTCTTTGAGATGACTTTATAAGTAGCCTAGTGGTATAACATTTTCCGTCAAGTTTCAATCAAACTCCGGTCAAATTTTACTATTCCAAATATGAATTCTCGAAAACAATTGAAAATCTCACATTGAATCTACTTTCTCCCCACATCAAAGCGAAAACATCAAGAGCATATACACATACTTGCCGATTGAAGTTACAAAAATGATTTCCCAATAGACCAATCATGCATCTGCCTGGCATTCAGGCATGGCAGCTGCATGCCCTGCCGCAGATCAGATCAGATCGACCTGTGCTGCTGTCATGCTGTGCAATGCAACAGTGTGCCGCCGGCCAATTCATAGGATCTTGTTTGGGAGCTTAAATTCTGAGAAACAGCCAACGAGAAGCTAGTTAGTAAGAATTTGTAGAATCTTGAAACCCAGCTTTTAACTTTTAGTTTATCTTTTGATTCTATAATTACAGTTTCTTATAATTTGAGTGAAAATTTGGATTGTTTAGAATTTGTAGAATCTTGAAACCCAGCTTTTAACTTTTAGTTTATCTTTTGATTCTATAATTACGGTTTCTTATAATTTGAGTGAAAATTTGGATTGTTTGGGGGTAGTTTTTAGAAAATCTTCAGCTGCCAGAATCTCCTCCAAATAGACCCATAGTCTTTTCCTGGAACCATCGTCTGCACACGTACATGCACACCATTATACCTTACCTCTGCAATAATCTGTAGCTGCTCTGCAACAGCCCAAGCTTAATTATCCTTCCTCTTCTCTCCTTATTATGCGCAAGCGCAATGCATGCACATGACACAGTGGCGCCACATGCCAGCAACAAAACCACCGGCTACTTGGCTCTGATCAGTTGGGGTAGGGCAGGTAAGCCATAGAAATTCAAAACAAAATAACCAAAATTGATCCATGAATGGAAGTGTTAATGTCTGTATTACTTTTAGGAATGTTAGAGCTGAAAATAAAAACCTGTAAATGAACTCAAGTCTTAAAGGTTCTTTTTGGAACACAGGATTTTGAAAACGCGGGAACATGAAAAACGTAAAAAATAGGATGTCATACACAGTAGAATCCTACAGAACTTCAGAACAAAAGATATCAGAAGCAATGCCTTTGGTTCACAGGAAATAAAACACAAGATTTTTGAAGGAATTAGAGAGAGTGTGTATAGACATAAATGGTCTGTTTGGGGAGCTTATGCCGCTGCAGCTTCTCCCAAAATTAGAAGTCCCCACAAACAATACAGCTATTGGTCCAGATTGTGAGAAGCTGTAGTTGTAGAATCTAGAAAATGAACTAGAAGTCAGAAGCTGGGAAACCCAGTTTTTCCAGATTTTCAGAAGCAGGCTACCAACCAGCTGCTTATCAGAATCTTAAGCTCCCCAAACAGACCCAAAGAGAGTAAGTGCATTGGAGTTCTCAAAGGAAATGAAAAGACGATATTAGACCTCATGTTTGTTTTCCTATGAAATGAGGGCATAAGAAACCATACCATAGGACTTTGCTACCCTTATTTCTTTGATTCCAAGGAGCTCATAGAAAGTATTTTCCAAGGAATAAAATCCTTCATTTTTTGAAAAAAATTCCTTCGATCCAAAAAAAAGCCCTCAAACTGAAGTTTCAATTGTAACTGATAAGCTAACAAATAGACCATTTAGCAGTTTGAAAAACATGCATGGGAAAAACGAGGAAGATGAGTTAGGTAAGTTGGGAAAATAAATTTTCGCACGAAACGTACCATTTATTAGTTTAAAAAGCATGCCACGAAAATCTTAATCTTAATACAACTTTTGTTGGAGAAAAGAACGGGGCCAATTTGTGGCCAGCAGCATGGGCAGGGCGGTTCCTGCAGTTCCCTGCAGCTTTCTACACACAGCTGCCTGAATGTATGGCTGTGTTTAGATCTAAACTTTCAACTTTTTCCATCACATCAATCTGTCATACACACACAATTTTTCAGTCACATCGTATCAATTTTAACCCAAACTTCCAACTTTGGAAGGAACTAAACACACCCTATACTTAGCATGCACACGTTGAACACAACCAACTCTGCTGTGCGACCGATCGACGACGACAGTGACAAACTTATTATGCAGCTGTAGCAGCACACTGTTCATCCCTGAATTCTGCATTTCTGCTCTTTTATTAGCTAGCCTGGGGCACGTACATGATGATGGTTCATCTTCAGTTGCCGACACTCCTTAGCACGTACGACTGACAGTGCCACTGGTTTCGTCTATGTCCATTGCAAAACCTGCCTACAACGACGGCACTTCAATTAATTACCACATCAATCATATCCTTTGTGGATTAATTAGCTACATTGGGTGAAATGATCATTCTATATGTCTTGCCTCTTGAACAGCAATTAGGATATGGAATTTTAGCAATTTGGTGCTTTTTAAAAACATATTTTATAAATAGATCTTCTATCAAACTCATTCCAAACCTGGCATCTTGGATGTTGTTGGCGCCGAAACATAGCGCGGGTGGCATAGAGTCCACCATGGCTAATGACATAGAGATTGTTATCACCAATATCGTTAGCGTTGACCCTCAACGCCGATGTTATCTGTGCCGACCTTCACACCCCGTATAGGCTAGATTGTATCCCCCATCTCAACCATCATCCAATAGAAATAGAAAAAGTCACATGGAAATGAAAAAAAAGGAGGTGTATTACTTGGTCAATTTCATTTTGAAAAAAAAGTTTATGCCAAAATTAACTGGATTTGAAAAGAGAGGTGCAGGAGGTACGTTTGAACTGAGCTCAAACATCATGTAGTACAATGAAAAAAAATATAGGGGATGAGAAAAAGGTATATATTAATTACTTGGTCTATTTCATGCCAAATCAAATGGAGGTGGTGAGAGAGGGATGGAGGTGGAGACTTTTGTTCCTTATTGGTCATCGGAGGTCGGCGCCAATAACCACAGGGTTTTAAGAGTATCGGTGTCAATTACTTTGCATTAGGCTAGAGGTTTATTTTTTGCAATAAGTTATATGAGAAATCTATATGTAAAGTAAGTCTTAAAAGACTAAGTAGATTGTAATTTGTAAGAAATCCAAAATAAGAGGTAATATTTACTAAGTATATCTTGTAACTATCTAGGGTATACGATTTTGTTTGTTATTATTCTCTCCTGTTAGTAATTGGGTTTAGTACCTGCACTAGTGTTGTTTGTCTCTGATGACCCGACACACAAGTTACACAAGGGTCACAGGAGAATAGAAACCATTATAGGAGACCAACCATGTGGTTGCCAACCAGTAATCTCAACTCCCCTGGTTACAGATCATGCATCCATACAAAAACATGCAGATATCCACAACGATTCACTTGCGAAAATAATAACATTTTCCTTCATACAAAAATGCAGTAAGGACAGGGCAATCATCTTATTATTTAACTCACGCAGACACGGTCACATGTCTCGGTTTTCGCCAGCAGATATGTTTAATTGGGAAATGTGAGGATAAAATGGTCGCCAACATGACAGGTACAAACTATGAGACAAATTTATTTCATGTTCAGGATTTTATGAGACAAATTTATTTCATGTTCAGGAAATTTCACGAGATTTACGGTTTTATTCATGGTCTCTGTCTGTCAAATACTCCTTCTATTTTATATTATAAGATGTTCTAAGTTTGATCTTTCGGTTTGACTAAATCTGTCAGTCAAATACTCCTTTTACCAGTACCTCGAGGTTTTTTTTTTTGACCAGAGCAAATCTCATCTTTTTCATCTTTGAGGAGGTGCCATGAGATACCATGAGATACGAGGTACCAATCTAATCTAACCGTTGGATTAGCAGGGGTATGATCGGGCAAACAAAAAAGATGTCTCTTCTCTTGCTGGTCGTCTGTGCTGGCCAGGGACGTTTCGCATCTAGGCCGCCGCGCCGTCGTGCATCGAGCCCGCCACCGCCGTCATGCATCCAGTCGCCGCCGTCGCGCATCCCTCCGCCGCCGTTGCGCATCGACTGCCGCCGCCGTCGCGCATCTGGCTGCCCCTGCCTCTCGCGGTCTCGCTGCCCTCCCGACGATTTTTTCCCTCTCGTGAAACAGGAAATGACAGAAATACCCTCCCACCCATGGTATCACTTCGATGAGGAGGTGCAATACCATGAGGTACGGACGATTTCTAACTGTTGGATGATGCTAGATCAACGGTCGGGATTTGGTACTGCACAACCTCAAGAACAATAAAAAATCTCTATAAGAAAACATATTAAAAATACCAAATTTTTATTTAAAACCTCCATTAAATCTCTATTTGTAATATATTTTTTCTATGTTAAAAATGTGGCTAAATTTTTGTACAAATTTAATCAGGTTTGTGGAAGTTTAACTTATGAAAAAACCCAAAACATCTTATAATATGGAATGGAGAGGTTTGTTGAAGAAAGATCAACAGCAGACAGATATATCATAGTGCTATGTATATGGTTAGTGACTGATCCAAGAAAAATTCAGACCATTGCTGCCTTTTACGCTGCTACAGGCTGCAGCTCACACAGATCACAATCCACAAGGACAGACAGACAGCCAATCCATCGTCTTCCTCGCGAGCATGGCCATGATTGGAAGCGAGCATGGCCCCAAGCTCAGCTGAGCACACACAGTGTCAGTACACACACTAGCTTCTCTCACCGGCTCTCCGCCATCTTCTCGTCCTGTATGTGTAGTTTAATGGCGAAAGATTCTGACAGCCAAGCTTTTAGCTCGTACTCGTAGCTCGTAGCTCGGGAATTTAGGATCCCCACCTCCACGTTCCTTCCTCCCGATCCTCCTCTCCTCGCTCACATCACATCACATGCCGGCCCGGCTCGCCATTGATCACCTCTCGTGTTGACTGAGAAGCGTTTGTACTGTGTGGTGGTTGGTGATTGGGTGTTGTGCCGGTCATCTTCTCCCTCGCCGGCGAGCGCTTATATAGTCGTCCCTGCTTCTGCTGCTGTCGTGTGAGCGAGCGATCTTGGTGAGGTTTTCTCTTGGCGATGGGGAAGGCGGGGAGGTGGCTGAGGAGCTTCTTGGCGGGGAAGAAGGATGGGGGTGGGAGGAGATCAGGGGAGAGGCAGCAGCACGGCGGCGGCGACGCGACGCCGGCGGTGGAGGTGGCGGCGGCGAGTACCAGGGAGAAGAAGCGGTGGAGCTTCCGGCGGTCGTCTGCGTCGGCGTCGGCGGCGGCGATGGGGAAGCCGGCCGCGGTCACGGCGCCGTCGACGCCGGAGCCGAGCGTGTCCGGGCTCGCGTCGGTGTCGGAGCGGGCGCGCGACGTCGCTGATCTCGAGGGGCAGAGCAAGCACGCCATGGCGGTCGCCGCCGTGGCGACCGCGGCGGAGGGTGACGACGTGTCGGCGAGCGCCGTCGAGGTGGTCGCCGCCGTCATGATCCAGGCCACCTACAGAGGCTACCTGGTGAGCTCAAAAAGCACTAATTCATTCCGCACCCATTCGATCGAAATTTGGGCGAAATTTGAGAGAATTTGTGGAATGTGCTAGGCGAGGAAGGCGCTGTGCGCGCTGAGGGGGCTCGTGAAGCTGCAAGCGCTGATCAGAGGCAACCTCGTGAGGAAGCAGGCCACCGCCACGCTCCGCCGCATGCAGGCGCTGCTCGTCGCGCAGGCCCGCCTCCGCGCACAACGCATGCGCATGCTCGAGGAGGAAGAAGACGACGACGTCCATGGCCACGGCCACCACCACCACCGCCGGTCATCGCCGCACCACCCCCGGCACCGCCGCTCCTACGTAAGCCGCGCGCGCCTCCCCTCGCGCCGCCGTGGAAACTTTTCTTATGTACACGCTTTGCAGGAGATGGACAGGTCGGGCGAGGAGCAGGCCAAGATCGTGGAGGTGGACGTGGGTGAGCCGGCGCCGCCGCGGCGGGGGCGGAGCAGCTGCTCGGTGGCGGCGAGCGAGTCGAGGGAACGGCGGATGGCGGAGTACGGCTACTACGCGCAGTGCTCCCCCGCGCCGTCGTCGTCGGCGTTCACGGCGGCGGCCGCGGCGAGCCCGCCGCGCGACGCGTCGTACAGCGGCCACTTCGACGACTTCTCGCCGTTCGAGCCGGCCACCGCGCGGAGCAGCCCGTACATTCCGCCATCCCCCGGCGGCGGCGGCGGCGGCGGCGGCGGCGAGTTCTTCCCCAACTACATGGCCAACACGCAGTCCTCCCGCGCCAAGGCGCGTTCCCAGAGCGCGCCGAGGCAGCGCACCGAGCCTCACCTCCCGCAGCCGCCGCCGCCGCCGCCGCACTTCGAGCGGCAGCCCAGCCGCCGCCGCGGCGGCGGCGTGCCGAGGAGCGTCAAGATGCAGCGTTCGTCGTCGCACGTCGGCGTTCCGGCGGCGCACGGCTACCACCACCACCACCTCTACAGCTACGGGCAGTATCCATGGTCGGTGAAGCAGCTGGACAGATCGAGCGCGTCGCTCAAGGACAGCGAGTGCGGGTCGACGACGAGCTCCGTCCTCACCGCCGCCACCACCGTCGGCTACTGCCGCTCCCTCGTCGGCTTAGACCTCCACAGGGGCCACTACTGATCGACCAAACACTTGCTCGCTCGCCGATTTCCGTCAAAGTTTGTATAAATTTCAATCAATTTCGAGTTGTTTTTTGAGCAAATTCTTGTCAAACGATTCCGTGTTCCAACTGTTGATAGAGATGTGAGCAACACAACGTGTGATCTCGATCGATGTAATGCGTGGATGATTTGTACGATAATGGGCAGTGCATGTGAGAGATTCGAACTGAATCTGTACATGATTTTTTTTTCTCTGATGAATGATGGAAGAAGGACAAATGAAAATTAACGAGATCGATCGTGCGGAATTTTGCCATCAATTGAATCGAGTAGTGGTACGGGCTACGGAGTGCTACAATTCATCGTTGATGCGCAATTAACCAGCGAACACGATCCAGTTCTTGAATGAACCACAGAATCTTCATCGATGATTTCATCTTCAGTACTCTAGGACTCTAGGTACGTACAATCTGTAGTTGCGATGAAACGCAGTGTTATATCGCTTTGGGCTTGATTAGGGCCGGCAAAATTGGGCCTCGAATGGGCCTCCCTTTAAAGCCCTTGGGTGGAGCTCTCTAAATTTTGGTGGGCCTAAACGACCCAAACACTAATTGACCATTTGACCTCGTCGTAGTGGGCCCACCACGCTCGTCGTTTTCTCCCTATGGAGAGAGGGGATCTACCAAAATTTTCACAATTAACCCTTTTAGAACAAACTTATTTTAAGAATAAACAGCGGTGCCTAATTCCCCCTACCTTGGCATCAGGCTTATTTGCGTTGAGGTTAGGAGGCCAATTGGCACTGACCTCCTACCACATCGGCCCCGAATTGAGATCTAATACAGTTGTAATAACAACTGCAACTTTAGCAGTGATAGCATATTATGACCGTTGGATCGATGCAGCCAATAGCTTGGATTTGCTCTGCCACAGTGATTCGTGAACAGTGATAGTAACAATGTACGCTACAGTGATTCGTGAATAGTATTTTCTGATGATCTGAGCCGCTGGTTTTTGATCCATCAGCTACCTTGCAACTGCTAAAGTTGCAGTGATAGTAACAACTGCACTGGATCTCAATCCATCGGCCCCATAAGCTCACCCTATGAGACAAGCTGCATCGGGACAAAGCATCAGCTGCTCCATTCTTTGCAAAGTGTTAGCGCCAACGCATCTGACGTTAAGATGTTAGATCTCAATGTCATCGGGTTTGGTGAAGATCGAGTTCGCAGTTCATTTATAAAATTATTTTTTTATAACAATATGTTTTAAACAAGTATTTTTAGAAGATTGCAATATCCAAATTATAGATGGTAACGGGGAATTAACTGTCAAGGAATGCATCCCCATCCACACCCCCACGATACAAAACTTTCCTTGTCCCCGTCTTCGCAGGTACAATAGGGAAAAACTTTGTCCCCATCCCCATCCCGCACACGGGGAATAAATCCTCGAGGGGTCTTCGTCCGCACTTAAAACAATATGCATATGTCAAATTATATATACAATTAAACATATATTCTCACTTTATATTAATAAATAAATATATATATCTAGTAATATTATCTACTAATTCACATGATAAAAACACAATATTATCGTTTATCAAAGATTACCAGTAATAAAATCAGGTAAAATAAGTAAAAAAAACATTAAACTTGGATCCCTATGCAGGTCTCCACCAGTGGCGGGCATATGCATAAGCTATGGGGTTGGCTGACCCCATAGATTTTTGAAAAACACCCCTATAGACCTTGATTTTCATGTATAAATCCAGAAAAATTAGAGAAAAGACTCCACTTAAATACAAACTAGTAGTAATTGACCACACAGGGTTAAATTCCTGGCTTCGCCACTGGTCTCCACTAGGAGCGAGGAATGGGAATGAAGGACCATCCCCGCCCCTGGGAAAACCGACAGGGACATGTCTACTCTTGTTTATATTCTCATGAAAAACCAACTCTAACCATCCCCACCTTCTAATGGGTGAATTCACCTCGGTGAAACGGGAAACGGGGCCATTGCCATCTATTGTCCAAATCTTGAAGAAACTAAGGGGTTGTTCAGATTGTAGTCGAAATAAATCTTACCAAATTTTGACAATTTGGTATTATTGCCAAATTTTAGCTGAATTTCTTATATATTTACTAAAGTTTGATAAAAACTAAATGAATGCACATTTATGATAACTTTACCAAAAAAAAATCGGTATCGTTTAAAATGACATCAATCTGAACAACATAAACTCCTAGCCCACCACACGGGGATCACGTGGGCCGGGCCGGGCTACGACGACAACGGATGCATGGCCGGCGTCCAGCTAGCTAAGCTATCCATCCCAACGGCCGCCGCTCGTTGCTTTGGGACTACGTTCAAGAGATGCTCACGCACGTCGGCGCGTGGCACCCACGAAAAAAAGCCTATGATGACGATCGCTGCTGCTACTGAAAAAAGACAGTAAACTACAGACAAGCTGCTCTATCTCGATGGCTGTCAGATCTGCTCCATGTCAAGCAGCATGGTCAAACAATATGCGGTCATATTCGATTTGAACGCAACCAACAATCACCAAACCGACGGTCGATACTCGTCGTCAAAGTTGACATGTTTTGGTCGTGCGTGCATGCGTGACAGCGTATGTATGAGCGTCCGTCCAAACTCCCCAACAGCTTCTCTCTATCTTTCTATTTATTTCCTTTTCTCAAGACTCGCCCAAGCTAAGCTTACCTATGGATAGCTAAGCTAAGGCTAGTCAAGAGTGAAGATGTCGACGTACTGTGCATTGCCAACATCACCCTCATTAAGGAGCAAGCTGCTGGTTTCATCCGGGGCAGGTTGCCTAGCTAGTTTTGCGCGTGTGCGCGGCGAACCTAGGCCGTGCACGCGGCGCGCCTAGCCGATTCAGGGCCAGGCGCGCACGCACGAGTAGAAAAGTCCTAGCCTCCCTGTTTGTGCTGAGGATTTGTACTCCGCTTTTCCTTTTTTTAAAAAAGAAATGCTCCACGTATTTAAAACATTTACTTAACATGTGCAATGAACTTTCAATTTCGAAATCTCAAACATTCAATTCGAAAATGTCAGCACAAATTAAGCACAAGACTTTTAATCATCTTGATTTAACGAAGCTTCCGATTGCAGATAGGCAAAATTTACTACAGGTCATTCAAAAAAGTGTAATTGGTTAGCGTGTGTTTGGTTCACGGTCATGCATGGATGGGACATGGTCATCCATATTTTGTTGGATATGGTGATCCAATTTTTTGTTTGTTTTGTATGGATATGGCGATCCAATTTCTTGTTTGGTTGGAGGGATATAGCATTGATGGGAAAAGCCATAAGTTAGTGGGACCCATTTGTCATATACATTTTTTTATCAAAATATAATCATCCGAGATCTTGTTTTAAAGATTTAATTATAACAAATATAATGGTGTAATCAAATCATAAATTAGATAAATGGTTTAGGGGAAAAAATCATTTGGAGAAATCAAACCAACCACACCCAATCAGAATAGGACACATCACCCAGACCAAAACTGGATGGCTTCATCCAGCCAAATCGGTCGGATGCACTCATCCAGCATCTTGAGGGAATATTCCCTATTCCAGGCCGCCCCATCCACACTGCCCTCCAACCAAACACCACAGAAAATCGGATGGCCATCTCCCATCCAGGCTCATCCACCCAACCAAACACACCCTTAGTGGACAATGCAAAAACGCGTATCTGCTATAGGGCACTGTAAAAAAATCGGTAATTAGCGGTATTATTTTATTATTTACGAAGTAATTGGAGAGAGAAACAACCATTAAAGACAAGTTTGCCCTTGGTTGAACTTATTTCTACCTGAATGGGTCCGGTTCAAACCAGCCTCGAGGACTCTTGTAGTTAATCGATCCCCATCATAAACCCTAGATTTTGGGCGGAGACGATGACTAATGGCGGCTGTGGCAGCGATCGTCGCCGACATGTCCTGGTAGCAAGTGTGGCGCGGTGGTTTCAACCTGGTAGCGACGGGCTTCTTCCTCAGTGACATCATGAAGCATCTAGGCCCCCGTTGTTAATTTTGGTAATTAATGACAAGCGCTTATTGTGGACTAACCGCTCTTTTGAGTTATATATTTTGAGATAGGATTACGTTATATGTGTGCATGGATGATTATCGTGGACTAAAATTGATGGCGCAAAGCAAAAGGAAAAGAAGACGTTAAACTAGTGTTTTAATTTTAAATTGATCGAGGATTTGGGCGATCAAAATTGTGCTAGTTTATTTATAGCTTTGCCGTACTATTAAGAGGGGTAATGACCTAGACAAAGAGATGATCAAATTGCCACATTAGGTCATTTTCATTTAGACTCTTTCAATTTATATACATTTGAGATTGTCTGACCAGGGCTGGTCTGACCGAGGCATATATGCCGGTCAGACCGGCGGGTAGCGGCCGGTACGACCGCCGGGTTAACCCTGGTCTGACCGGCCCCCTGGTGGCTGGTGGCTGTGCTCTGGGATGGCGATCTAGAGCCGCCAGAGCCGTAGCCGGTCAGACCGAGCCGACGGTGTTCTGACCGAGTTGTGGCCGGTCTGACCGGCCGCACACCTGCGATCTGACTGGCCCCCAGTGTGTCAGTGCATTGCATAGTAGTCCAGTCTGACCGGCCACACAGTGGCGGTCTGACCGGTAGTGCACTGAGTTGGGGGATTTCGACCCCCAACGGCATGTTTTGGTTGGTGGGAGTATAAATACTCCCCCACTAGCAGCAAGGGAGCTCTCTTGGCACTTGCTTCACTTGCATACACCCCTTGCACACTCTCTCACACTCTCTAGTGCTTGTGTTCATCCATTAGGTGTGATTGAGGGTTGGTTAGCCAATAGTCAAGTGCTTTTGCTTCATTGTAGAGCTAGTGTGTCACTTGATCATCTCAGAGCCGGGTCATCGCTTATTACTCTTGGAGGTTGCTGCCTCCTAAACGGCTTGTGGAGGTGTTGCCCGGTGACCTCTCCGAGGAGATAGTAGAGGAGGCTCGGCCCGGTTGTGAGTGGTTTGGAGTTCACCACCTTCGGAGTGAAGGAAGAACTACCAAAGTGATCGAGACTTGGGTAGTCCTCTCCGTGGGCCGGCTCCCACCTTGCCCACCCCTTGACGAAGGGGGTGTGCGGTGGCTTTGTGGTTGATCGGTGGAGTTGGGCTCGCCTCAACGGAGATTAGGAAATCGGCGAGTTTCCGAACCTCGGTGAAAAATTCCCAGTATCTTGTCTCATTTTATTTGTTGCATTTACATTTGTGCAATTTACATTGTTAGAGACATATTTGAGCTCATATCACCCTATGATTGCAAAACTTAACTTAGGTGTGTGATTTACTTTCCTAGAGATGTATTTGAGCTCATATCACCCTAGGTTTGCAAAACTTAACTTAGTTGCTTAGTTAACTTTGCATCTCTCCTTGTCTAGCAACTTAGGTTAGTTTTGATAAAGTGCCATTTAGTTTTAAATTGCTTATTCACCCCCCCTCTAGTCGACATCTTGATCCTATACATCACCCCAGGGCCAACGTTCCAAGCATCGATGACACCACACCAGGCTCACAGCTCCATCGGTGCAACCACTGCGCAACTTCAATCTGTCATCACCCTCAACGGAACTCGCCGCTAGTCGTGGACCATGCTGTTGCAACTACTTCACCGCCCTCAATTTCTAGGGTTTGAGGAGAGAGACGGGGATTTAGGAGAGTGAGATTGGTCTGGGTCTGGGTTTGAATAAAACCAGTTAGCTGTAAACCCTGAAGGCAGGGGCATAATCTTATTCTCACATCAATATCTCTATCCAATTCCTCTAGAAATAATAAAATAATACCGCAAGTGTCCAACAGCTAAGTACCTTTTCTTCACTATGCCCAGGATATACGCGTTCTTGTAGTGTAAACCAACTAATTACACGTTTTTAGATGCCATGTAACAAATTTGCCCTTGGAGATATGAGCTTTCATCTCAAAATCACTTCATCATATATAATTTTTCTCATTTCAAAAATCTAAAACTTTAATGTAATTAAATTCCTCCCTGGCAAATCAGATTACATGTTCTGGCAAATTTGATCGTATGTTCTGTCGGTGTATCTCTCGAAACAAGTAAACCATCAGCTATCAGTTCGGTTTTATGAGATAAATAGTTTGGTTTTATGAGATAAATAAGGCTAAAAAGAGCATACGCTAGAAAGAGGAAGATCAATTATTACTCAGGTAAAATTTACTTTCAATTACATTAAAAATAGCGGTGTATTATAAACCTTATTTGTTTCAAAATTTCTTTTCAAAAATTGTTTGTTTCAAAACTAATTGTGAAACGAAAACGGCTCCTCTAATTATTACTCATGTAAAATTTACTTTCAATTATTGTGTAATGTAAACCTAATTGTGGAACAAAAATAGCTCCTCTAATTATTACTCATGTAAAGTTTACTTTCAATTATTGTGTAATGTAAACCTCATCGTTTGTTTCAAAATTTCTTTTCAAAAATTGTTTGTCAAAATCAATTGTGAAACGCAAACAACTCCTCTACGCAATCGAGCATACACGTATGGGTCTTCCTGTTTTTCTCTTTTTATCTTTAAATGAACAATTTCTACATTCATCTCCATCTCAATGGATTTTTTATTAGTATTTGATATATCCTAACATTTATACTTAATTTAGTTTACATCGGCTAAATACATAATCATATTTAACAAATTATTGGTAAGGTTATACACGTAATTAATCGACACATAGGTATCGGAGTTGTAATCTTAATCTGTCTCGATTTCTGTACATATAAAAAGAAATACATGTATATTTAACAGATTAAATATGTGTGCTGAGCTTGTAATAGGGGTAATCACGATGATGATATGTGTTAAAGCTTTGAATACATTGAAGATCTATTTTGAAGAATTGAGCTAAATATGTTAAATCTGTGCTTAATTCATGTGGATTTTTGTCACTTTCAACTAGATAGTCTTAGATTAATTCCTATAATTTCACAATACAAGTTGTTTTAGATTTTAAATAGATTCGTATGGATTCATGCATGTGTTCTATATGTCTATTCAAATTGTTTTAATTAGATTCGTATAGATTCATGCATGTATTTTACATGCCTATTCAAGGATGTCAAAACATCTTATAATATAAAATAAAGAGAAATACTTTATAGTATTTTGCTAATTGAATTTTCTTTGATCGCATACTCATCACGTACTAGAAAAAGCTAACATATGATTGTTAGTGACATCACACTTGCTAGCATGCATATTTTGTCTAATAATAATAATTTTCTTCATATAACAAACTACGTGTTGTCGATTGAAAACATCGTTTCTCGAAAGACATGATTCACTCGAAGATATGAAAAAGTAAATGATATTTGTGTTAATATTTTTCTTGGGGGTCCTCCGTTACATACCCCTTGGGGTTTATTTATAGGCCTAACACTAGTCCAAGCAACCCTAGGATTTATATGTACAGAGAAATTTACACGATTATCCTTACGATAGGAATACTTACAGGGTAATTACAAACAATTAATCTATTTAACTAGCCTTTGGGCCCTAGGGCCCATTCCTAGGCCACCAACCGTGGCCTCCCCAAGGGCCAGTCCAATTGAGGCTTGGTTTCCTTCGCCTACTAGCAAAGGTTCTTTGCTTCATCTCCCCTTGGCTTGGTATTTCGCCTCACGATACTATTCCAAGGCTCCCGTCTTCGCTCAAGCAGGTGTTTCGCCTCTTCAATGTTTCACCCATGAGATTGATAATATGTTTTGACATTCTCGGTCCTCGTGATATGCCACCAACGCTATGATTGCAAATTTGCACTTCTATACCAACTTAAAAATATCCTCACCACAAAAAAAAGGTTGTATTACGCGACACAACCTCACCTAGAATCCCCTTATTTACCAGATTATTGTCGCATGTTATTTTCCTCAATGCTTTTAAAAAATACGTAAAATTCTTTACTGTATCGTTGGGAACGCACATGTGCGCCAAATAGCAGTACATGTATTTTGTGCTGTTAGGAATAGAGAAGTACTTGAAACTCCACAAAAAGTAAATCCATTTTTAACTTATTTGTGTGTTTGTAAATGAGACCTATTCATAACCGTTTCCTTAAATATTCTTATCCTGCCACCTAAAAGCTTTCCATGTACACCATTGTATAATCTGATCCGGATACCTCAGAGTACTAGTCTTAACTTCGTATAAACGGATTGATTATGTCCGATTCACCAGCTAGGGGTGAAATCGGTCAACCGATTGATTATGTCCGATTCACCTCACAAAAATTCCAACTGACCACCGTTTCTGTATAAAGTATAACGTTTCCGACTGTATCGTTTTTGTTATTTATAAATTTTGTTGTTTTCTAATTTATTTTTGCATCGTATTAATATCATAATAGGGTATTTTAAATGATAATTACCATCCGATCAAACGTCATTTTTAAAGAGATGCTACCGGTTCCTATCGTTTCCACCCGTACACCAGCCCCCAAACTATGAAAAAGTATAAATTAATAGCCACAATAGCAATAAGGATTAATTATGGTTAATCCGGTAATTAATTCTCACACACTGAATAATTTCCCCATCACGCCTGATCATTCAATCACGTCACGAATCGATCGATCGACAATCGTGCCGTTGACACGCACACAAACTGTTATGAAAGTTAGTAATAACGACTAGCCTTCTCTGATCGATTCAGCCATTGTGTACCTAAGACACGTCAAATGACGACATAGGAACATACGATATTTATTCACGAAATTCAGCTGAAGCCTATACCTCCGGGGCTCTGATTATGAACGCTCCTCTCCAATCAATATAGCTCCTACCATTACGAGTCCATGGTTACGCCGCCATTATCTCCCTGCGTGTTTACGCTACATTGTAGTCGCCATTATTATATGGTAGTGCCCCTCTCTTTATTTAAGAGAGTACTTTAACTCGACCCCTTACCACCTATTACAACTAGTTGTCGGGTTACAGAGGCCGACTCTAACTCGGCCCCTTACCACCTATTATAATTCTAAATCCAACCATAACTAAATAGGACTAGTACATATAACACCTATTCTCACACGAGCTCTATAAATTGGAAAGGTGTGTAACCTGTTTTTGTGTACGCTTAATTATTCTCAGGTTCATTGGCACGTGAGCACCAGGTGTTCGACCATGGTAGGGCAGCAGCAGGTGGTCGACGCCGCGGCGGCGGCGGCTGCGGCGACGACGAGGGTGCCAGTGCCGCCGCCGAAGCCGCTGCTGAGGACGATCGGGGGCAACCTGATGGAGACGTTCTTCCCCGACGACCCGTTCCGGGCGGTGGCGCGGGAGAGCGGCGGGCGGCGCGCCCTCGCCGCGCTCCGGTACGTGTTCCCGTTCCTGGAGTGGCTGCCGTCGTACTCGCTCGCCGCGCTCTGGTCCGACGTCGTCGCCGGCGTCACCATCGCCAGCCTCGCCGTGCCGCAGGGCATCAGCTACGCCAAGCTCGGCGACCTCCCTCCCATCATGGGCCTATGTAAGTCGTCGCCGCCGCCGCCGTCCAACCTTCTTCATGCGTGCCATTGTTGATGTGATGGGTGTTTGTGTGTGGGTGCAGACTCGAGCTTCGTGCCGCCGCTGGTGTACGCGGTGATGGGGAGCTCGAGGGAGCTGGCGGTGGGGACGACGGCGGTGGCGTCGCTGCTGTTCGCGGCGACGCTGGGGAAGGAGGCGCCGCCGGGGGAGAAGCCGGAGCTGTACGCGGCGCTGGCGTTCACGGCGACGTTCTTCGCCGGGGTGCTCCAGGCGGGGCTCGGCGTGCTCCGGCTGGGCTTCCTCGTGGACCTCCTGTCGCACGCCGCCATCGTCGGCTTCATGGCCGGCGCGGCGACCATCGTGTGCTTGCAGCAGCTCAAGGGGATGCTCGGCCTCGCCCACTTCACCACCTCCACCGACGTCGTCGCCGTCGTCCGCTCCGTCGTCACGCAGTCGCACCAGGTCAGCTGCCCGCCGCCACCGCCACCGCCGCGCCATTGTTGTCTCCGGTGTTCGATCCGTGTCTAACTTGGTTGTGTTGTGTTGTTGGGTTGGCAGTGGCGATGGCAGAGCATCGTGGTCGGGTGCTGCTTCCTGATCTTCCTCCTCTTCGCTCGCTACATCGTAAGTGCTGCCTTTTTCATCTCAGCTACTAGTATGATTGTGTTTTTTTTTTTAAAAAAAAGTGGAAAGATCAAACTAATAAATGATAATGATATACTAAGAAAGAAGTCAGGTTTTGGTAAATCTTGAAGCCAAAATATAATCAAGTGTAGCTAGTAGTAACTGGCCGGATATATGCAGTGAGGGAAAATAGGTAGCGTAATCCACATATACAATGTAAACGTGAAAACTATGGTAGGATCCAGAGCTGGATGCTTGAGATTTGGGGAGAGTAGTAGGACTAGCGCGTAGGGCTGGACAAATAGCTCGGGCTCGTGAACTCGGCTCAAGCTCGGCTCGGGCTCGCCTGGCTCGGCTCGGCTCGAATCCTGAACGAGCCGAGCCCGAGCCTGGGTTTTAGCTCGTTTGTGAACCGAGCCGAGCCCGAGCCAGCTCGCGAGCAGCTCACGAGCTTAGTAGGCTCGGTTTGAATAGAAAGACTTCTGGCCGAAAACCAAAAAAGCCCATCAATTTGTTATATGTTGGCTGCATACAATATACCTAATTATCTTTGTAGGGACTTGAGAGTTATTATCTGAATAACCAAGTCATTGCAAAGCAACACAACTGCTGCTGGCAATACAACTGCTGCTATTGCAAAGCTCACGAGCCAGCTCGAGCCGGCTCGAGCCAGACCACGAGCCGAGCCGAGCCTAATGTACAGCTCGGTTGGAGAACCGAGCCGAGCCAAGCCGAGCCTGGCATTTCGCGAGCTTCCACGAGCCGAGCCGAGCCGGCTCGGCTCGGCTCATTTCCACCCCTACTAGCGCGCTGTTTGGGGAGCTTAAGATCTTAAAAATCAGCTGGTGAGAATCTGAAGAAGCTGAGTCTAGTTCTTTTTTGGATTTTATAACTACATATTTCCAAAATCTTGGTAAAAATCTGGATTGTTTGGGGGAGCTTCTAGCAGCTGGAGAATCTACAGCTGTTAGAAGCTCTCCAAACAGACTAAGCAGTACGGTAACTGGTCCTGATATTTTAACTTTTGAAGCCTAGAAGTTACTAGAATTTTGCAGGATTGTAGTAGTAGTAGTGGTAGGTGGTTCATTTGTCAGTACTGGTCCTGAACCTGTGCTAGTATAGGACCGAATAAGCTAGCTGCAGATCGTTATTGCTACCGGACAGTCAGTGATGGATCCAAGGAATATATACTTCCATGAGATATTTGGAGCCGTGCATCATGTCGCACTAGGACAAACGAATCGATCAGCACATGATCCAGGACAAAATCATAGACGTAATCTAGACTACTATATCCATTTGGCATTTTGCCCTGAATTCAGTTCATCTTTAATTTAGCTAGTCAAGAAAACCCAATGTTCTGAATTTCTGATGCTCTGATCGATCAAAGCTGATTTATTTATTTTTTGTAATAATCTGTTGTACATTCAGAGCAAGAGGAAGCCTAAGTGGTTCTTGCTATCAGCGATGGCGCCGTTGGCGTCGGTCATCGCCGGAAGCGTTCTGGTCTACCTCATCCACGGCGACCGCCATGGCATCCCGGTGGTGAGCACGAGCAAAACAAAAGATCTCATCACTTTAATTTCCAAGAAACATAACGCATTTGCACTGATCAGTAGTGATAAAAATGTGACTGAATCATGAACAATTAACAGATTGGGTACCTGAAGAAGGGGATAAACCCGCCGTCGGCGCGCGATCTCCTCCTGTCGTCGCCGCACACGATGGTCGCTCTCAGGACCGGGATCATCACCGGCATCATCGGCCTCGCCGTAAGCAGCCGCTTCACTCTTTCAGCTGAACTCCATTTTCGTCAGAAATGACATCGGCTATGTCAGACAACTCACCGAGCTTGTAACGTGTCTGCATAAAATTGCAGGAGGGAATCGCGATCGGGAGGAGCTTCGCAATGCTGAAGAGCTACAATGTCGACGGGAACAAGGAGATGATCGCCTTCGGGGCGATGAACATCGTCGGCTCCTGCACCTCCTGCTACCTCACAGCTGGTATACAAGAGATTTTTCTTCTTCTCTTCCGTAACAAATTAGTTACTGTTATGTTTCCGACAAAAATCTCTGTGAGCTCTTACTGATCACTGTATCGATCCGATCTCCATGGCTGGCGTGGTGTAGGCCCGTTCTCGAGGGCGGCGGTGAACCACAACGCCGGGTGCAAGACGCCGATGTCGAACGCGGTGATGGCGGTGGCCGTGATGCTGACGCTGCAGTTCCTGACGCCGCTCTTCCACTACACCCCGCTGGTGGTGCTCTCGGCGATCATCATCTCGGCGATGATCGGCATCATCGACTACAAGGCCGCCGTCCGGCTGTGGAAGGTTGACAAGATCGACTTCTGCGTCTGCGTCGGCACCTACCTCGGCGTCGTCTTCGGCGACATCCAGATCGGACTCGCCATTGCAGTGAGTAGCACATGCTCCGAAGCTTTCTCTAGTCTGAGCTGAGCTGAACAAGACTGACATCATCATCATACTTCTCTGAAGCTTGTCGTTCTGAACATTTGTGATCAAACTTGTGGTTTTGTGCGATTTTGCAGGTTGGGATATCGATTCTCCGGATCCTATTGTTCATCGCACGGCCGAAGACGACAGTCCTCGGGAAGATGCCAAACTCGACGAACTTCAGGAGGATGGACCAGTACACCGTGGCGAAGGCCGTGCCGGGATTGCTCGTGCTTCGCATCGACTCACCTATCTACTTCGCCAATTCAGGCTACCTGCGAGAGAGGTGTGTAAAAAGAGAGTAAATGCTACAGTGCATTTGCACTGTACAATATCTGACAAACATATTTTGACTGGAGAATCTCATGTTTGACAGCAAATTTCTGGTGTTGTGTTCAGGATCATGCGGTGGATCGACCACGAGGAGGACCGGATCAAGGCCGAGGGTCTGGAGAGCTTGAAGTGTGTAGTCTTGGACATGGGTGGTAAGTTCTTCTTGTACAGCTGGACTGAAATAATACACATATCTGAACTCTGAAACACTGAACCTGAAATAACTTGTTCATTTGGGAATTTCTGCATGAGGGCTGATCAACCAATGTCTTTCCTGCAGCCGTTGCCAGCATCGACACGAGCGGCACGAAGATGTTGGAAGATCTCAAGAAGAACCTAGACAGGAGTAGCATTCAGGTAAGGAGGAGCAAACTAATAGCTGCATTAGCACCTCAAATTGCTTAAAATCTCTGGTTTCAAGGCTTATATATCACCTGAATTACTTTCTGATGTTGTGTCTGCAGATTGCGCTGGCGAACCCGGGGAGTGAAATCATGAGGAAATTGGACAAATCAAATGTTCTCGGGCTCATCGGAGAGGAGTGGATCTTCCTGACAGTGAGCGAGGCATGCTACTATGCGCAGCAAAACTGCAAGATAGGAGTAGGAATGGGTGTAGTACAATGTGTAGTAGATCCTGAACACATGGTCTGAAACTCTGTAATAGAATGTGCAGTACACCAGTATCTCCTGAAAAAAATATGGTCTGAAACTCTGAAATGAAGTAGAATGTTCAGTAGATTCCTGAATGAGTAGTCTGGAATAGGGTCTCATCTTTTATGGTGTGCTTTTTTACTACAAGGGCAATGTCAGCAAAAGAATCCGATTTTGATCAAGATACGCACGTGTAAGAATAGTTAGTGAAACTACCTGTGATTCCTCGACGAAGGCAGGTACAAAATCATGGTCGTCCATCTAGCGTCATCTGACGGACGAGAATACTCGGTACCTCCAGGTGCCGAGCTTGTAAAGGGCATAAAGGTATTTTCGCATGCATGATCTGGACGGCTGGACCCAATTCGTCGAAGCACGGACGGCCCCGCTCCCCGCTCATCCCGTTCCCCTCGGCGCGCCCGTTCTACCGCTCGCGCTCCACGCTGCCAAATCCGGCCGCCGCCGCCGCCGCCGGGCGCCAAATCTGGTTGATGGAGGCAGCGGGAAGGCATCGTAGAGCTCGTGGGCAGCCTGTTGGAGGCGGCGGATCGGTTGACGGCAGCGACTTCGGGAGAACCTCCGACCGCCCTCCTTTCCCCTCCGTACGGCGCCGCCGCTTCCTCCCTCTTCCCCGTGCGCTCTCTCAGGGCTGCCTCCTCTTTCCTCTCCGATCTATTTTCTTTTCTTATGACCACCCTCCTCCCACTTACGCCATTTAGCATATGCCAGTGAAATTTTCGCAAAGTTCTACTCATTGTCGTCCAATGTTCTTGCTCATTTTTTTTAAGAAAAAATTTTGCCCCGCCCTTGGGAGAAGATTCAGGCGTCTAGATTTTTCGAAGCACGCTAGTCAGCTCCAGTGGCAGCGGCAAGCATGGTGCTGTGGCTCCAATGGCGACAGCGAGGCGCTGCTTCCTTGCTCACCTTGGCTGGTGCAAACAACCTCCTATATGTGGCCAACCAGTAGAGCAAATTGATGGCTATGTGAACAATTCAACTCCGGTGGTGCCTCCTCGCTCCGATTAGGCGCTGCAGAGCTCGGCATGCACATCGAGCGGCGGCAGCGGCAGTGAATTCCACAATCTCGGACACGGCGTGGAAACACGGACCTGTTAACCGATTGAATTCCTCCGAAAAATCCAGTCATGCCGCCGCCGGCGCAGGAGCCCCTGGGCCATCCTAGCCGCAATCCCCAACGTGGTGGGCCGACATCTCCGTCGGCCGCAACGACGTCCCGCGGGCCTCCGTCCTCACCGTGCCGCCCCACATCTCCCTCCCGGCGTGCCTTGGATGCTACCCCTACGCGCCGCCGCCGACCGCTCCGGCCTTCTCCTCCTTCTCGGCACGCATCCTTTGTCACCTCCGCCTCCACCATGGTCTCCTACCACATCTGCGACGCGCGCACCGGCGAGGTAGTCTCCCTCCGCGAGCGCGACCTAACGCGGCTGTGCAAGGCGGACTCCGCGAGGACTCCTACCTATAGAAATATCTGATACCCATCTTACCCCTTTCTAACCAACGGTGGGATGTGAGTAGTACCTCGTGATACCTAGTATCTCGTGGTACCTCCTAAAGGAACGTAAAAAGTCTCGTATAATTAAGGCTACTTTTTGGTATTTTTAATGGCTTTCTAAAATAGAATAATAAATAAATAGTTTATTTAAAAAATTTTAATTTTAGTTTCAATTTGGTGTAGAAAGTTTCAAAATTTTGGGTAGAGTTCTTTTTATATTTTTTGAGTTACGAGTTTTACTTTGGAAATTGGGTTAAATGTTTCGAAATTTGAGTTGACAATTTCAAATTTAAGTTGATAGATTTTTAAAATTGATTTGAAAGTTTCAATTTCCGTGTTGAAAGTTTTAAATTTTGGTTGATTTTTTAATTTCGAGTTTAAAGTTTTAATTTTTAGTAGAACAGCTCTCTTTTTCTTCAATTTCGATTGGCACTTGTTGAAAAGAAAAAAGTAAGCGCTGTAAACTACGGAGAGATCGAACGGCAGATGCTAGATGCCAACATGTTCCAGCCAAACGGAAGAAAAACATTCCAAACGGAAGAACAACGTGATGCATTTCGTTTCCATCCACCATTAACATCCAATTAATTAATCTATATTTTTTCACCAGCATACAAACCCAGAGCAATTCACGTATGTACACCCGTATTATTATATTCCAAGCTAGGAATTTGTACAAGTTGTAAGGGAAGTCATATAAGCACAAATTAGAGCTACAAAATCACACTGTTACATACATATATGAAGTTCACTCGTATGAGTCTGAGAAGAAGAAGTTCGTATCATCAGCAAAATAGCTAAAACACTATGTTGACAGTCACAGCAAGGATTTGGTACCACTGCACATTGAACGCTCCAGCATCGCGGAAGCTCGCCACAAGCTAATACCATTGGACAGCCGACGCCATGTCTGGGAAATCAGGGGATCAGTTCTGCCAATCTCATGAAGCATCTCAAAGTAAGAAGAACCCTCTCTGCCTCCTTGTCGGCCTTGATGGCCTTCAGTTTCAGCGCTCGAGCAACATCAAAAATACCTACTTTGCGATCAGTTGTAGCGAGTGTGCCGATGCCATGGAATCCACCAACGATCAATGCGACATCATACAAGCTAGGGAAGTAGCTCTCTCCGCTGATCAATGAAGGAATAACACCACCATTGGCTGACCTGATAAGTCTGTAGATCACATCTGATCCCTGGAATGTCACCCAGGATACATCAGGGTTGTTGGTTGCTCCACAAGATTGCATAAGTTCAACAAGCTGTTTCAGATTCAGTACATTGCCATTGTTGTCTGACGTAAAACGACTGATGCAGAATTTCCAGGCACGCCCGTAAGCCAACATTCCTTCAGGGTTCATGAACGCGATGATCATTTCATAACCCTTCCTGCCCAATCGAGGATGGATTACTACCTGATTTACATCTACTCCAATGATGCTGAAGTTGCTGGCAACCAGCTCTCCGATTCGTCGCGCCTCTTCGTCCAAGTTTTCTGCCACCACCTCGATCACCTTGATGTTTCTAGTGTGATCGTCAATGTGGCGAGCGCACTTGATCGCCATGTTCCACTCCTCTAACCCAGCGAGTAACCCTCGCCGAGCATCCAGCTGATGCAGCTGCTGTCCTGAGAGGGATCTGAAGATCTTGAAGAAACACGACAGTGTCAGCAGCGCGTCGGAGCCGGCATGGTGCGCGGCGCCGCCGGTACGCCGGATTCCGAGGTGCTCGGCGAGCCCGGTGAGCTTCCCGCTGAAGCCATGATCCTCCAGCATCTGCCTGATCACGCGGACGTCGTAGAACGCCGGGAAATTCTCCCGTAGCCGGCGCAGAAACGCGGCTAGCTGACGCGGGAGGTCGCCGCCTCCGCGGCGGCGGCCTCCGCATTGCAGCAGGCGGAGGAGGAAACCCAGGTCGTAGTCGCTGTGGTAAGCTAGCCATGTGACGGAGCGGCCATCGCCGAACGGGAGGTGGCGCAGGAGCCCCTCGTAGAAGCGCCGCGGCGAGACGCCCCTCCTCCGGTGCTCCCTCAGATCATGGCCTTGTCGGGACAGGAAGGCGATCGACTTCTTGTTGTACTTGCGCGCCTTGATGTTGATTTTGAAGTTGATCTCCAGTGTTATCGGCGGCGGCGAGGAGGAGGAGGAGGATTGTTCGCCGCCGCCGACGAACACGAACGCGAGCCCCATTTGGACTATGTCGCCGCGATTCACAAACTCGCGCAGGTGATGGTAGCAACCGGTGGAGGTTACCGGCCTTCGGCGGATGTTGGTGGTGGCGTCGGCGGCGAACTCCATGTCGACGGCGATGTAGAGGTGGCGACGAGGTTGGTGGAGCGCGTCGACCACGAGCTTGAACTGCTCCCTGTAGTTCTCCCGCCACACGCTCTTCACGGTGGCATTGGTGATGCTTGCCGGTGCTGGAGATGGTGGTGATGCTGGGATGCCGATCACGTCGACAATGGCGGCCACCGTGTCTTGCTCACCGCCGGCATCCACCACATGGAGATGGAGGTCTGCATTGGCATCGGAGTAATGGACCGGCGCGACGAAGCTGAACGCATTCGCGGCGAGGGGGGTGTCGATGTTGGGGCACACCGTGTTCAGCTCGCCGCCTGCACTGATTTGGCGGAATTCCTCAGCAGAGTGATTGATTGACGCATCGAAGCTGAAAATGTTCGCTGCGTGTGTGTCCATGGTGGGGAACGCCATGTTCTGCTCAGTGCTTGCACCGTTGTAGTAGAATTCCTCGATGTTCTGCTCACCGCCTACACCGTTGTAGTAGAATTCCACAGCAGGGTAATGGGCCGGCATGGTGATGCTGAAAGTGTTCGCGGTGAGGTTGTCTATGTTGGGGGACACCATGATTGGCTCACCGTTTGCACCATCTATCTATCTATCTATTATATTATTAAAATAACTTTGAAAGAAGGCACTATGTTCACTGTAGGGGCTAGAAATTCCCATATTAATCGTAGAAAAAGAAAAAAAAAGAAAAAGGAGAATCTAAGTAGAAGTTCAATTTAAAAATAGCTGAAATTTGAAATTTAAAATAAGCAACACTAAAAGAAGTTTCCATATAAGAACCCAATATGAGATTAATCAGAATTCAAAATAAAATTAAAATAAAATCCAAAATTAGAAAAGGAAAGGAGAGTCCAAGTAGGAATACAATTTAAAAAAAGCTGAAATTCGAAATTAAAATTAAGCAATATTGAAAGAAGTTTCCATATAAGAACCCAATACGAGATTAATCAAAATTTGAAATAAAAATAAAATAAAATCCAAATCTATCTATCTATCTATTATATTATTAAAACAGCTTTGAAATGAGGTACCACGTTCGCTGTGGAGGCTAGAAATTCCTACATTAATCGAGAAAAAGAAAAACAGAGTCTATGTAAAAATACAGTTTATAAAATATACTAAAATTCGGAATAAAAAAGGTAAGATAATATGCAGAGTCCACGTAGAAAACATTAAAGAGACCGATTGAGGCTAGCCTATTCTTTCCTATATTATAATGGTAAAGTCATAAGCAATTAAGGGTTTTATCTCATTAAGAATCAGACAACATAT